CTTTATGCTTTGTGGAACTCAAAATATCGTCAGCTGTCTGAAAAGAGACAACCTTATTTCACATTTTTCAGAGGGCATAAGAATTGCACCCCTCTGGTGAGGGAAATGCACAACAAACAACATACCAGTAATTAATCATCTTCTGTACTGTGTTTGAGCAAACTGAATGGAACTTGCTGGGAATCACACCCATAGCACAGAGATGAAAAACAATGTGCAGTATACAGGAGTGAAGAAAATTTCTGAAGTCAAAATAATCTTTCATCAGAATGTAATGTACAACACAGGTATACAATACAGAGAAATAAGCATAACAAGGAAAACAGATGATTACAGGGCAGTGGTCAGCAGTGCACTTCGTGTAACAATAAATGATTCAGTGCTCTGTCTATTTATTGTATTTACGGGTTTTATTGCAGACAAACAGAAATCTTTTTCCCTTTCAATGTCATTAACCAGCAAATGGATCCTTTTAACAGAAGTGAGGTGTTTTCATGATAAAGGAATCAAATTTGCAGATATTATTTATATTATCTAGAGAGAGGATGGGGTGGTATGGACTGGATTGATCTGGCAGAGGATAGGGACCAGTGATGGACTCACGTGGACATGGTAATGAACCATCAGGCTCCATGAAATGTTGGGAAATTCTTGAGCAGCTGAGTGACTGGTGGCTTCGCAAGGACTTGATGCCATTAACTTAGTTATATGAGCTCGATATTCATATTCTAATAATGAACCTGGCTCATGGCCACACTGAAAGATTGAGGAGATAATGCATGAGCCTGACTCAACTGATTCACATTGTCTTCCAGCCACTTAAATAGCTTCCCAAGGCCAAGAAGTTTGACTTCTATGAAAATAATTGGGTTGAAGGGTAAGGTAAGGTAAAGTTATCCATGGGCTTAAACACTATGCCATGAAGATGTATGGGAATGCAGAGGTACAACTCCACTATTTTAGCCTTGGTGGAAGATGGAGGTGGGTGGTCAGATTCACACTCTGGCCACAGCACTCAGACTTGTATTCCGAAGGTATAAGATAAAGGTAAATTTGTCCTAGATGTATGGCTCTATTATTCTTGGTCTTAGGCCGCACAACAGCTCAAGCGGTTAGTCGCTGGCTTTCCACCGCGGCGGCCCGGGTTCGATCCCGGGTCTGGTCAAGTGGGATTTGTGGTGGACAAAGTGGCGCTGGGACAGGTTTTCTCAGAGTACTTCGGTTTCCCCTGCCACTCTTCATTCCACCAACTGCTCCACAATCACAATCACCTACCATCTGGGGCTGGTACAATAGGCCAGAAGTGGCCGCAGTACAAGGGACAGTCCCATCCCGCTAGCATTACATGCATTACATTACATTCTTGGCCTTGGCACTACCTGGAGGTTATCAGCTCAATTCTTAGAAAGGAAACTAGTTATCCTGACCAGGGTTTTCATGGATTTCCTTAATCCATAAAGACGAATCCCAAACTAGCACCTCAATTGGGTTATGGCTCCCTCCTATCAAATCCCTTCCAGTGATCCATTATCTCATGATTTTATACTCCACTGTAACTGCTGATAACATCATAAAATAGCCCATAAATAGGAAAAATGGTGAATTATTATTATATAAATTTATAATTAACTGAAGAAATGTCATTACTGTTACCACTGATGTGCTCGGCAATGTCCTGAATAGTCTAATATACTCTCACTGTACTTAACCCTTTCCTGTCCTGTGACAGAAGCCTTCTAACATTTTCATTTTCTCATGCGGGTCCACTGCAAGAATTCTGATACAACTTATGAATTTATCACCGCATTCTGATTGTGTATTAAATGTTATATATCTTTGGTTTTTACAGTGCTTGACATCTCTTCTAGTAGCTCATACGTAGGAAAAAAGATGGCACAGTTTTATATTTTCTTATATCAGTCTTTCTGTTTCTAATTTTCATGCAAAATATTTATATATGCATGAGTGAGCTTGGAAATAAAAACGATGCAAAAGGATAAGACCACGATACAATACGGCATAGATTCCTTTTCACTGGAAGAAACATTTCAACACGGGTCTAGAATCAGTCAACCACGGGACTTCACATAACAATTGGCATCCTACAAAAAAGGCTCTTGGACTGGAGTGTGGTGTAGCGGTCTGGGTTTTCATTTTGGTTATAAGATATTCTTTAGAGAAGATAACGGGTTAAAAAATACTCGAACAAAATTAACTATAGAGGAAATTTCATTGACAGTTAACATTTATTCAGCTGTTCAAGAAATTTCCTGTTGGACCTTCTTCTGAGCCAGTTAAAACCACCTCACGGTCTCGTAACCAGTTTTTGCTATAATATTTACTTACTTACTTACTTACGGAGCTGAGCCCTTCTTGAGGAGCGGCCAAATCTGCAGCTACTCAAGAATTTCCCAGCAATTTATGGATTCTGAAGGTTAATTTTGCTACATACATTATAATATTATGTCTGACAGAATATATATATACTTCTGTTGACTGGAATATGATGACAGAATAGATCTTGCACTCATATGATGTATGTACAATAGGATGGATTGGCCCGCATATTTCCAGTTACCACTCACACATGTGAAAAGTATTTTGCTGGTTACATTATATACTGGGACACAAATAATGCCACTTTAAAATTAGTAGTATACTGCACAATATTTCACATAAGTCACAAGATTTTCACAGCAGTGACTATTCTTGTCTTCTGGAGTATGATACCATACAGTCTTGTCAGTGGAGGGTGACATTCTGCAAGAACACGCTGCCCTCCATCTTCAGAGTTGAAGTGTGTACGTTCAAGAAATGCCTCAGGTTGCAAGGAACTTGGTCATGAAACCTAAGGGATGGGTAAGGAGGTGGAATCTGATCCAGGGAAATAGGAGAAACTACAAGCAAAAATTACAGGGGCCCTCATAGGGCCATTTAACTGCCCATCTTTCCCTCTTTCCCACTTGGTCTCTTTTCTTTACCCCCACCTTGAAACATAAGTAAGAGATGCATTTTCTGAAACTACACACTATTACTGTGAAGATGGAGGCAGCATGTTCCTCTGAAACATTAGTCACCATTTAGAAGATACATGATATCATAACCAAAGAGATGCGAATCCAGATTTTTATATGCATATGTTATATATTCAAAATTTGAATTGTACAGTACAAAAGGAAGTGATGACATAATTATTCACAACCATTGCATATGAGTGTCGTAGTACCAATGTTACTGGAAATCTTGCTAAATTTCATCAGCATTTACATGGAACAGAAATGCAACAGGCAAGTACTGTAACTACAGTAGCCCTACATCCACACACCCCTCACTGAATTACAAAATGAAAGAGCATGGCACAAAAACAAAAGCTGTGTTCACCAACACCATTCATCGAGAGGTCCACATGGTAAGCTCCAGAGCTATCTGCAGGCACGGCCAGTGCAAGCCTAAATGTCGTTCCAGATGACAAGAAATTCTGCTGTGACCACTATTAAAAATACAATATACTTCCTCAAAACATCATCACTAATAACACAGAATTTCCAGACACTGTAACAAAAATAGTCCCTGGTGTCACATTTCTTTAATCTGTTTTATTATAAATCCAGCACAACTTTATTTACATTAATAATATGTTCTGATAATGAGCATGAAGTGAACAAAAGATCAGAAGTTAACTTTCCTGTGTTGAAAAGATGATAAGAAGGTGTGCAACCCATAACATCATGCCAATCCAGGTGGCCACTTGGTTCACCTGTACTGTTATGCTGGCCCTGTCTGCAGATATGTCATGCAGAGTGCTACTTGTCCGCTGCCACCAACCCTGCAGCAGGGGCAGCAAGCAGCCCTATACCACTGTGCATGGTTTGTATTTATAAGTGAAGTGCAAAAGTGGATTAAAGAAAGCTTCAATGGCAAAAAAATGAAAGTAGAGGAAGATCAGTATCTGATATTCCCATGGAACAGAAACAAATTTACTAACAAAGGAAAAGAAACCCAACAGTAGGTAAATTACAAATTTTAGCAACCACTCTAACATCTTAAATATCTCAGTGTGGGTGCGCGTGCGCGCGCACACACACACACACACACACACACACACACCAGGGCCTTTTCTTTACTGAGAGAGAATGAAATAAAATGACACCAGAGCTCACAATAACAGGAAAGAGTGCATCATTCACAACTGCAAACAGAAATATAGAATGACAAACTTTCTTCACAATTTCACTATCCCTCTTGTGATGTAAAACAATATGGTTCCCGAAAGGAACCATCCCTTCTCAAATCTCTCCTGTTACAAAATCCTGGTGCATCCCCTGAAAAGGACCATTTCCTGCTCAACACCGGCTCAGACTGAGTTACGGCTCCTTAATCCTTTCCGCGGACCTCATTGACAACCTTCACTGACAACTACTTCTATAACTACACACTTCAACATAAAGATGGAAGCAGCCTGTTCCCCTTAATTGTCAGTGTCTGCTTACAACACTACATGGTGTCGCAAAACCCACAAGCCCACACTCTGGAGACATATAAACAATCTTAACACACTGTAAACATAACACACATTGGGGTGCACCACCATGTGGTCCTGTAGGTGGCACATATCAATGCTTACTGTCTGCTTCTTGCTGGTTGCTCATTTCGCTTGCTCTTCAACCTGAAGATGGAGAAAGCGTGTTCCTCTGAAACGTGCATGAACATCTACCAACTACATGACATCACATCCGAGAAGAGGGTATTCTTTTTATGACCAACAAACTTTAAAATACTATAATTATACACACACACACACACATACCAGTCTTTCTTTTTCTATCAAATCTGCTTCACTTCAACAACAAACTTAGTAACAATACATAAATATAATAATAATCTAATGCTGGTAGTCACTTATGACAATAAGGAAAATAAACACGAGTTCTGAAAGTGATATTCCTCAAGTTCTTGCATGGAACCGCATTCCAGCCCATTTGCAAATCACATTAATCACCTTTAAGCTGGTGGATTGTACTAACATCTCATGCCAACTCATATACAAACACCACTAATACTGCTAGCACAACCCACTACTGGACACCATCTTGAGCCAGTTAAATGCCGTTCATATCATCATAACCTATTTCTATAATTTCCAGCTGAATATTATCCTTACATTTCATTCTCAGTCTTCAAAATGGATGTGTTATATGATACCCCCCCCCCCAATATAATTTTATATGAATCATTTCCTTCCCTCACATGAGTCATAAAGTCAGCCCCTTCTATGTCCTCTTAACAATATAACAAAGTTAAAAAGCTTGATAAAACAGTCAGTATTGAGTTTTCATACTAGTATTCTAAGGTACACAGTACTTCATAAACTGGATCTATTTCTGTCTTCATGTGAAAGGATGTGGGTAGTTGGACCAGTCACAAGACCAATGACTGCCAAGTGACTGAGACAAGCTCCTTGGAATGGACTCAATTGACAATGTGCCTCCATGCCCTTTCACTTGAGGACAGAATGAGAGCCAGTGTCTCAAATGTTGTGTTCTCTGGAGTACGAGATGATGGAGGAGTTCAGAATCTTGCTAATCCTCGGTGTAACACACCTTCACCAAATTTACTTGATAAAACAGGATTGACTTTCAAAGATCTCGAGATAGTATTCACATTTTCTCCAAGTTCCTTGAGTATAAGATACAACGTTTACAAGACTTTCTTGAAGTTGTCATATCTGCAATTTAAAATTCTGCCCTGCTCTGAAATTATATGTTGTACTTTTGATGTACAACTTCTATTAGATAATGTATTTAGAAGCCTGAAATTGGCTTCAAGACAACTGTTACATAAATACAGCCATGGCTCTATCATAAAGAAAATTCATGTGAAGAATGCCTAAATATATGTTGAGACGTTCAAGAAACTACGATTCCAGTCACCTCAAAGTATTTGTCTCTCCAGGGTTTTTTAAAGAGTTCGGAAAAGCTAACGAATACTGAAAAGGAATGTTCCTGGGAAAATAAGGACATTCAAAGCAGGAAAACTGCAAATGCCCATAGAAATACTGACAAATTAATAACAAAAACATCACTCACAGCAGCAGACTTCCTTGGTAATATTATGCTTTAAGATATTTAAAACTTCTAAAACTGAATAAATAAAATTATAACAAAGACATTTAATTTATCTTTATGTTAAAAACTTCTTTTTCTGTCACTGTTTTTGTGTTGTTCCTCTATTTTCTTGCCCAAAATGCAAAAGACTCACAAGTCTGTGTCTATTTAACATCTTTTGAAATCTAGTGTTCATATTATCTATGACCTGAGTTATCTCTATGCATCTGAATGAAATAATTCATTGTTCTGAAGCAATAAACATGATGACGAACCACCATTTTTAATTTTCTAAAAACAGATTATTCTTAGTCCAATATCACCAAATTCATGGGTTGAATCTGAGTGTACCTCACATTTAGCGATGAAGCAATAGTGTTAAGTACACAATATACATTTTCACTTCTTATATAGCAACATGACATATCATTGGCAAGAGATGGACAAACAGCACACCCAAAAAGTTTTCTCTCCAGAGCCCTAAAACAGAAATCATGATTGTATTAGCAATGTATATTTCTTTTAATTTCTCTGGGCATGCCTACATGTCATTCTGAAATGACCTACTGTTCACATGTTCAATACGTACCCATTAATGTCTTTTAACAGAGGTCCAGTTACTGGATAGATATCTGTAAGGATGGAAGCACGTGCCCAATTATTTCATAAGCACAGTTACACTAAACCCATTTGTCTGTAAGGAAATTGTCTACGGCCTTATTTCTATGTTGTGCTGTTTAAAGTATAAAAACAAATTATATAAATGCACAGACTTACACTGCTTTCATCTGTTAATCATATTAAACACTAGCAATAAATAAATGTTATTAAGGAATATAATTTGGCTTAAACAAATTAAAATGATACAGACTGCTATTTATCTTTTACTCCTTTTCAGAGGTATCACCACTAACAGATTTCTAGTCATTTTCGGCATTGTAATTTACAGACTGACACAAAATCTGAACCTCAGCGTTTGGTTACTGACATATTTTATTACAGACTTTTGTTTCTTATGACAGTGATTGATCAGAAGGCTGCCAAGGATGAAAACACTTTAGGGAAGCAAATGTAGGTGGGAGGATAATATTAAACTAGATCTTAGAGAAACAGTTTGTCATTGATCATTCTAATAATATTTCACAAGCAGTCAAAATTATAAAGCTTGTCTTAACGAACTTTCTCCGTCTTCCTGCTGCATCCTCACTCTTAGATCCAAATATCCCCATCAGCATTCTGTTCTAAGACACCCTCAGTTGATGTTTATGTGTTGCTTATTTATCAGGAGTGTCATTACTGAGACTACATAGTGCTGACATCGGTCCACATTTATCCGTTTGACCAAGAAACGGCAATATTATAGTTCTGTGTATTTTAATCTTCACATTCTAGAGAGGATAAGGGAAAACAGAATTATAACTGAATACTAGGAAGCCACCTCCATATTTAATCAACAGACTTATCATGGCCGACCCATAGCTTAGGCGGTTAGTTGCTGGTTTCCCAACATGGTGGCCCGGGTCTAGCCATGTGGGATTTGTGGTGGACAAGTGGAGCTGGGGCAGGTTTGCTCCAAGTACTTCGGTTTCTCCTGCCAATCTTCATTCCACCAGTTGCTCCACAATCACCATTGTCTATCATATGGAGCTAGTACAATAGGCCAAATAGTGGCCGCAGTACAAGGGACTTAGTGCTACCCCACAAAGAATTACACACAAAAAAAAAAAAAGACTTATTACTGCCATTCCCAAATACACTTTGCCACAATTTCAAAGGACGTATTAGCTTATGCATATACATTATGGTCTCTTCGTGAAGACAAGGAATTAATACATATTTAGTATATTTTTTTCTTCAATGAATGCATCCTGTTGTGTATCATATATTATTTGCTACTGAAAACCATCACAACACAACATCAGTAACACTTGTAAACAGCTCTGGAAGATACCTTTTCTACATGTTTTGGCCTTCCATAAGGCCATCATCAGGCAAATACATTAAACCTTTCGTTATTGAATTGCAGGTAGTAATTTATTCCTCTATGAAATTGGACATTTACACAAAGGAGTCACCCGTCAAATTATATCAAATATTAAGCAATAACATACAACATAACAACAGCCCTCCGAACACCATATCAGCTATTCTGTATATAACATGTCCGTATAAGTATTACATGTATTACGATTGCAAATACCAACTTCCAAGTACCATCGCATATACAATTTTTAACTATACTTTTGAATATGTAACTGATCAACTAAGATTTTAACCTTTATTGTAATTTATATCTGTATTCACTCATATCATTTGATACCATTGTGTATACTTGGAAGTTTAGTACTGTGACTTATATTTAACATGCAATTCAATAACGAAAATTTAATGAATTTGTCTGATGATGGCCTTATGGAAGGCCGAAACATGCGCAAAGGTATCTTCTAGAGTTGCGTACAAGTGTTATTGATGTTGTGTTGTGACTGGTTTCAATATTAAATAATATTCAGTTTTCTCTGTACTTCTACTGTACTGTACTTCTAGACTAACCTCATTACTAGCATGTGACAGATCTTCTGTGACTTTACGCAGACATTTATAACAAATAGCTAAATTTTTACTGCCCATTTCTCTCTTCTACCAATCAATGGGTAACTGACTGACAGATCTGACCCTCAGAAAACTTAATGACACTTTTCTAAGAAAGATAACCTCTCCATTGATCCATCTCTATGTACACTAACTCATGACTTCACAGAATATGCACACTATCAACTATGGCAAATTGTTTTTGACAATTAATTGCAACATGGCAGCCAACCCTACAACTCCTAACACACAGCCACATGTTCTGTGCAGTGTCAAATGCAGGAACCCTTGCAATAAACAATTCCCACCTGTAGACACTTTCCACAGATGATCATCACACCAATCCATTTTCTTATAAAAAATCACCATTTCATTCAATATACACACTATCACAAATGGAAATTTCTTTTTACCAAAGGTCAAAACTGTGATGCTGCATGATGACAAATCCCATGCCTACTTCCATGCCTCTCCATTAAGAAAATCCCAGCTACCCATAGGCTTCTATACAGATAGAGACAGACTCAAAGTTTTAGAAAAGACCTCAATATGAAGCCCTCCACTTAAATCACAAATGCCATATACTTTCCTTCAAATGCTATAGTCTATATAGTAGAGCTTCCAGAAACGATAAACTAACAACTATTCAAGTTAGTGATATATTGTGTACAATTTCCACTATCACAGATTCTGACTACATCATGTTTTACAGATAACTCAGATACTCGAATCATCAAAACTGTTGTCACACTGGTATTTCATTATCATATAAAAAAGTTTCACATAAAATTTGTTGTTACATTTATAATCTACAACCATACAAAAATTGGAATGTCATTTCATTCGTTTATTGACTGTCATTATCAGACAGAAGTTTTACACAGACCCTGGGAAGCAATCTTTTCTTACAACAGACTACAAAGAAATGTTACCTCAACAAAAGTTGCATAATTTTTTGAAATATATAATCACACACAATTTTGGGACACTAAATTAAGCAGTGCTAGTGCCCCTCACATATTACACTGCCAATGTGTTAGTATTAACAGATGGCAGATAACTAAAAGTACAAAGTTTTAATGGCCTCTACTGGCAAGAATTTCATGTCAAATTTGATGAAAATCCATTATTAGTTTAAAAATTATTAGGGTTCAGGAGAGACATGCACATGATAATTATAACATTTATCTGCTTTTCCTTATATAATAAGTAGATAAGGCCAAAAAAAGGTATCTTCAAAATCTCAAGGACTTGAGAACAAGGACACTTAATCATGCAACTTCATTCGACGGTCATCCTGTATTTATGTACGAAGTTAACGTACTCATTCTAATACCACCCGTGGGCATATTAATGTTGTGTCAAGCGGAGATTCTTAACAAATACTTTCATACACTCAGAGAACAGAATCCTGGCACTCAGAAACGATAGGAACAATATNGGCTTTGTATAGTTTTCAACCAAGTTCCCACATTGGGCATACAAGCACAAAACATCAAAAAGACTTAACTGCAAGCAATTCTACTCAGTTCCTGAAAAGTTATTACCCTTACAAGAATATAATAACAAATGAAGTCAGTGAGAGTGACTGAAAAGAATATCTTCCATTTGCAAACCACACGGTGAAGTGACAGAAAGAACTGCAGTGAGGAAGGAATGACTGGTGACAGGAACTAAGAATGGACTTCGCAATGAGCACAGAGATTTACATGGAAGTGAATGCAGTGACCCACCAGACACAGCTTACTTGCAAGCCCACCATCTCACCGAGACTGATCTCCTGTGGCCACCAACCTTGCTCAACTTGAGTCTGTCGTACTCCTGCGCTTTGTTGTATAACAGCACGCCCACTATCACCGTACATGTTCCAAGCCCGCTCAGCAGTGTCACAGGATTTCCAAACAGCAACACTGATAACCAGATCAGGAATGCTCTTTTTGCTGTGTTGGCAACACTGCAACCAGTAATGAATGCACATACCACCAATAATGGCTGTGAAATATAAAACATATCAACACCAAGACGCTGACAAATAACCTGTATTTATGGTATTACAATCTGAAGCTTCAATACTTACTTACTCATGGAGCTGAGCCCTACTGGAGGAGCTGCCAATGCTGCAGCTACTCAAGAATTTCCCGGCATTTTATGAAACCTGAAGGTTCATTACCATGTTCTCCAGACCCCTCTAATGGTCCCTAACCTGAGCCAGATCAATCCAATCCATACCATCCTATCCTCTCTCGCTCTAAGATCCATTTTAATATTGTCCACCCACCTATGCCTTGGTCTTCCCAGTGGGCTCTTTCCTTCTGGCTTTCCCACCAATATCCTATCAATACTACATCCATAAAAGGCCACTATTGGACAAGCTCATTAATCAGTTGAATTCTCCTTCTTGGTCTTCAAAACTGTTATTTTTCAGCAAGTTTAATGCTACAATTCTACATGCATATCCTCTTCTTCTCACTCAACCCAGATTGTGAGACCAGCATACCTGCTTTTGTATAAAAACTGTAAGACTATGTCACCAAGTTCATCACATCACTTCTTTCTCACTTTCTGCTTAATCCAAAAATGTCCAAAAGCATTTGTTTCCATGACACTTGCATATCATGTTCTTCCCTCAAGATAAAAGATCATACCAGAGCCATAAAAAATGTGAAAATCATTTCTAAATTTATTTTACAATGCTGTCAGTATCTACACAATGCAGTGTCAAATTGACAAATGACTGATAATGAAGAAACTGGAAGGAAGCGGCCATAGAATAATCGGGTACTACCATGCAAATTTGCCTGGAGCGACTGAGGAAAACACACAGAAGCCAATTTGGATAGCTGGTGTCCTGGCCCGGACTTAAACTGAGAGCCATCCAAATATAAATCCAGACTGTTACCCCTACACGATCCTGCTTGTCTTTGTGTTATGTACACATATATACATACAGTCATGTGTTAGCTGACTAGCCATGCGGTTTGGATTTGTAATTGTATTAACTGAACATGTATAACTTGTAACTACAATTAACTCTAATAGTTTCAAGGATCTACACACTCTACAGCTCACTACAGCATGCACTGAGTATTCTCAGTGGGCCGCGTCTTCACTGGTTGTCACGCGGTAACGCTCCTAATGCCATAAATTACTCAGCTCCACGTTCCACAGCTCCAGTCCTCACTGGCTGGCATCTATATCACAAGTTAATTGGCATTACCTGGTTACAGTCTTCTAACAAGGACTATTCCTCATGCCCTTACATCTCAAGGACTGCACTTCTTAGCCACTGACACCAGGATCTACTGCTCTGCCAATGGCCTCCTAGCCAGGGCACAACACCTCCTCCTTTCTCAGATTCCCAAAATCTCAAATTAAATCTCATTATATAGCCATGGTGCAGACCCCACACAAAACACCATGCATAACTGTTGCTGTGATCATGTGACAGTTACTGACTACTGTGTAGCAACGGATGCTCGCTCAACAGCACCGCCATGTGTTTACTGTGTCATAACCTAGCAACAGACATCTCTTCAGATTAAAATATTACAGCTTTTAGTGGACATGCCACAATACACACATACATCTGTACATATTCTGTTTTAAACTCAAATATACATCCATATTTCAAGTCAAAATAATTTGACAAATTTATTCAACTCTGAATTTCACTGCAAATCCTCACTTTTATTTACCATTCTTAACACTTTGAATGCTGAATTAAGAAGCAGGTATCAAGACTCCTGTGCAAGGTTAAGAAAGACAATTTTAGTTATTTCAAACAGCATGCAAAGCATGACAGTGACACACAAGCATTCCATCTCTCGTCTTAACTGGTATCATGATAAAGAGTTTAAAGAAGTAACATCGCTGAAGGTGTGTCTAGCAAGCGAGAAGCATTAAAAAGACATTAATGGAAGGCAGCAAGATTTTCTCCTGAGCATCTGTTTACTAACTACATGATGCATGATCTTACAGGGAATGTCATATAGTCAAATCATTCCACAACCACAGGGTCAACATCATCTTCATGAAAGCCTGCCATTGGCAGTATTAATCAATTAATATCTCTGAACTTTACTTCTCTAAGATCCATTTTAATACTGTTCTACCTGTCTTTGTTCCCAGGTAGTCTCATCCCATGAGATTTTTCAACCTAAATTTTAACTAATTTGATGCAACAGTATCCTTACCTATGAGTAACAGGACTAATGTAATCCATAAGCACATAGGCAGTGATGCTTTGGAAGTGGAAAAATATGCCATTCAACACGAAAGCTAAGAACAGTGCAGAGTCAGTAGTCTTCTCGACTCCCCTGATGTCCACTAGGAACAATGATGCTGGTATCTGCACAACCACGGATGCAATACTAGTGTAAAACTGCAACTCTGCAGGCCTGTAAACATAAGATATTTAACACAGTTCAATCCCAGAAATATGGAATCTCAAAATCTATCAAAAATGTTGGTAATGTTACTTTCATGCTTAATCTTCAATCTCCAAATGGGCTCCTACAAGAGTCTTCCAACTGTGCATTAAACACTTTCTTGTCTCTCCACACATGCCCAGTCAGTACTGGGTTCCCGGATTAAATTATTCTAAAAGTTCAGTATTTTTTAAACACATTCTAAATGTTGTTCTCTCAAAACATGATTTTAAAGTCTGCAATGTCATCTTCAGTAGAATGGTTAAACTGTTAGAACACAGCATTAACTGATATGATAAAGTAAAACGATGATGCAAACAGACCCAAACAACTGTGATGAACTGTTACCCTACTGCTTCCATGATTGGAAAGCTCAATAAGACAACAACACAAGCTGAGTATAAATAGCTGACAGATTTTTAACAGTACAAAATGGTTCAGTATAAATTTCTGATGTGGTTTCAGGAATAAAATATTCAGAGCACTAACTTGTGGCATATGACATCCAATAGTCAGGCAGAATTGAGATTAACTCCTATTTGACCACAAGTTAGCCCTTCCGTAGTCACCATTGTGAAAACCTTGATTCCAATATAATCAAAATATTCGGTTCATGAATACTTAACAGATGGCTTTCAAAACTATTCCAGGTTTGCAAAAATGTCATCTGCTGCAACTTCTAAAACCCAGAATCTTTACAAAAGAACATAAAAAAAGAAACGATCACTGGACGGAGAGAAAAACAGTTTCTCTTCCAGAGCAGTCTTAGCTGCTGGAACACTGATGCTACTATGGTTCTTGAGACAAAGACCCTTCTTAAAGGTTGGCACAAACTTTCAAGTTGCATAAACTTACGTATATTTGAATTTATCTCCACTGATGAGCATCTTGGAATACACGTTTTGTAAGCTGAAACAACAGAAATAACTCCTGTTAGTTCAAGAAGGGTTTGTCTGGGTGGTGTATACAAGTGGTCAATAAATCCAACATCCAATCCATACCCCATCTATAGTCACACATACCACTCTGTCAGATTCGTTGCCATGGCTGCCACAAATCCCCGTGTATCAAAACTCAACTCATTGGCAGAGCACAAGGCAAGTCCACTCATCACAGGTATCAGTGACAGGTTTACATACAGGCCTGTCGCTTCACCTGAAGAAAAGGCAGAGAGAGACATGACATGACAAAACATAAAAATGACAATCAGCATGTATCCTGAAGATGATGGTAACTGTACTGTTGAAATCCGGACAGATGAATACTCGTCTATTTTATTTATCTGCAGTTTACTTAATGACACCATCAGTAGCTTAAACTATACAGCATCAAATAATAGCATGCAAAGGGCATGGAAAGAAACAGATGTGTTCTAATCTGAGGTCCTATCCCACGATTACCCTGCAGGAGCAGAGAAAAACAATGAATCTCTCAGGCAGAGGAGCCGGATTCTGGGCTGAGATGAATATTTCTATTGTGGCATATGTGACTGACATATTGCCAGGCTACATCTCTGTAAACATGATACATGCACGCAACAGTAGAGCCAGCTGGCACAGGAGCGGTGATGTCACAGAGCAACACTGGGTGGGGGTCAGATGATATGTGTTTACTGTTGGTTGATGTCTGACCCTCGGCTATATAAGTGAGTGACGGAGTTCTGAGTTCATCGGAGAAGAAAGAAATAGTAGCAGCAGAAGCACGCAAGTGAGCGAATTGGAACTAGTGAATACTAGTGGAAATAGACTGATAAGATTAATGTGGAGACCTCAAAAGGTTTCAGCAGTTGAGAGTACAAGGACGAGAATGGAGCATGAATAGTGAAGATTGAGTACAGAGTGACTGAAGACGAGAAGTCTTCACAGTGATTTGAAGTGACAGTGTCTGTGTTGAGATCTGTTGCTAGGAAACGACTAGTGGAAACAGAATCCTAGTGTGTCTGCAACAGTGGACTGGAAAGTGTAAATGAGAGATAGTGCTGAATTTAAATGTGATTATGAGAGATTGTAACCGAAGTGCTAGTAAATCAAATCATACAAACTAGAACTCGTGCTCATTTCATCAAAGTCACTTAACTTAAAATAGTCACTCATATCAAGAGGAATGTTCAGATTTAAACCTGTTAACGTCAGTATGAGTCAGGTACACACATCGAGAGTTGTCCACGATCATGGAGGACCTCATTACGAAATTTTTTTTTATTCAGTACACAATAAAGAAACACTTTTCTAACAAGTTAACAGACTCTTGGGCCACCCTATATATTCAGGCTGCAGTGAATCACTGAAGTGCTGCTAACATGTATTATAACCAACCACGAGCTTACCTAAGATACACCTAGAAATGAGGACAGTGAAAAGAGGGGCTGAACTCTTGATGGTTTCTGTGAAGCTCACGGCCACATAGTTCAGGGCCACCAAGCCCAGGATCACAGTTGCAAACCTGATGACATAAAATAAAAACTGGCAGCAAACATAAAGACATTTCAATCCTTGAGAAGCAAAATTAATCTGCACTGAACAATCTATTATGCCTAACGAATTGTTGCTTACATTCCCTACAGAACGGACAATACTTTGTAAGATGAGGCACTGACTAAATAATTAACATTAATATTACCGCATCTTCATCACGAGCCTCCAAAACAGTTTATTATATATACACAAAATATAAAGAATGCTCCAATTTGTCCGTGGTAACACAACAAAATCACAAAATCCAATGACTGACGCGACGATGTAAAGCATCACTCGAAGAATTTTATCCTTGTTTTATACCATAACTTTTGTTTTTTATAGTCTAATTTATTGTATTTTTAGGCCAAGTATTTTAATATAATTAATATTATTGTATCCAATTTTACTAGTACTGCAGTTCAGTGGCATATATATGTTGGCCATGTATTTGCCTGATGATGGCTATTAATAGCTGAAACATGTAGCAGAACCAAACTTGGCACTGACCTTAATATAGTTGTGTTGTGACGGTTTTAATAAAGAAAGTGCAGCATAATTTTATGTTTTACAATATATGTGATGTATAAAATAAAGTTATCCTTATGATCAATCAAGCACTATGCCATGAACACAGGAGCAGAAGAGAACATACAGGTCCCTGCTTTCCTAACATACACACTAGACACAGATGGGCAGCCAGCTTCAACTCTCACTGCTTTATCCACAATGGTAAAGAAACTCTACCCCATGAATAGGCTTGGATGTGGTGGGGAAAAGAAAATTCCCTTGCTGCCACCAGGAGTTTAATGAATTCTTTGTTGTCGAACTTGTAGCCTAGTCACTATACTGAGTTATCAAGGTTCCAACATGTGAGGCACTAACAGATGTAAAACTCTGTATATAACACAACATTTCTACATAGGTCTTATGTATTTCAATATACATAAAAAAGAGAATATGCAGAGTTAACAGTTCTTAGGATATTTAAAGATCCAGCATCATTTCATACCCACAAAAACTGCACAGCACTGACTGTAGTGTCAAGAGCTTGAAGAATGGTATGTAGTTTAGGATCTGGAAGGTAGTTTCTTGGCCTGTCTTCTAAAGGTATTACTTCTGGATGGAGGGAGGGGGGAGGCAGTAGCTCAGTTGAATGTGAGGCTAAATTAATATCAGTACACACTGCTCCAAATTGTCAGCTGCTGTAAATGTATGTGAAACTGTATTATCAAGATTTGCCATATGTGCCCACTGTGTTGTTACAGATAACAATTCAGCCCCACAGTAATTGCTACAGAACACATTTTCAGCTTTATTAAAACAAATCAGTAATGATTAGTAAAATTACATGTAAGCAAAAAATAAACACAAAACTTGTTGAAAATTCCTAATGAATAAAACACAATTTTGGACAATATTTTTCTCCATAAAGAACTTAGAGTGGGATATTACAAGTTTTTCTGTGCACTGGAGGGGCTATTTTGGGTTACTACAGTTTTGAATTAAGGTGACTGTATAAGACAAGTCACCACAAATACTTGAAAAATCTCTTATCTTTAAGCTCTGCTGGTTACAAACATCAATTAGTGTAGGGAAAACAATTAGAACACAATCATCTTATAAAAAAGCACTTTGATAAACTAAGAAAGGACCATGAAAGGTCAAGCTACACTAGAAAACTACAGGCTAGTGGAACTTGATTCATAAAGTGAACACACAAATATTTAATACAAACTCTGACTCATATTTTGTATACCTGGTGCATCCCACCAGCATCATATGTCGATAGAAACCAGGAGGACGCATCAACCTCTGTGTGGGCTTATACATTCCACAAGGGAAATACATTTGGACGAAACCACAGACTGTTGTCATCAACATCTGACTTGTACCTAAAAATCATAAAATTTATAAGTTCCGACTGATTCTTCATAGCTAAGTGGACAATATTACGAGCAGATCAGAGCTATCAACATAAACACACAAACATACACAGAACCGCAAAGCAACACACAGAATACTGGGACTAAACAGTGCAAGAGCAGCAGAAACAGCACCAGCAACCCTGTGCAATAGCCAATTATTCATTCATTTTATATAACATTCATAATTGCTACACCAGTAACACTTGAAAACATGTCACATCATTAAATACATCATTCTTGAAATTGTTTTGCCCAAATGCGTAAAGGATTAGAATTTGTCAACAGTAAACTCTTGACTTGGTTAAATCTACAATTAAAATATAACACACTATAAGAACCAGATAAATAATTAAATTAGACACAATACATAACTCAAAATGCAAGCTGATTTAAGAAAATGCCTATCATACTAGTTTTGTTAACCTTATGAGTTTATCGAGAGAATTTTAAGAGTATTACAGTAAATCAGAAGTCCTACATATGACCATGTAAATCACCGATCACATTGAGATACTACAAGCAACTATTTGATATTTCAATCGCTGAATTGAGGTTTTACTATGCTTACTACTGTCCCTCTAAAAGAAACTCATACAATGTAGAAAACTGATGATCTAGTAAACATACTTTTCGCTTATGTTTAAGTCTTTGCATCCATCTCATTTTCTTAATTCAAAAGGCAGTCTATTATACAATTTAATACCCATTTTGATAACATTTTTCTTAAATAACAAGCAAGAAGAAAGTAAAACATCAGTAATACCACGTATTTTATAACTAGGCATAATTCTGTAATATTTATAATGTGTATATATTAACAGTCTTGAAGTGCATACAATCCCATCTACCACTTCAACACTACACATTTCGGAAGTATGCTGCCATCTTCAGGTGTACTGATCCATCAACCATTTCACTGCTTGAATTTATATGTCCATTTACAAATAATATTAAATTTGTATATGTCCTTATATAATAATAATGTTTATGTATTTAAAACTTGTTAAAACCTATTATCTCATACGTCATATTTTTAAATTCGTGTGTATTATTGATCATCCACATGGGGGTCGTTCTTCTTATGTTTCTAATGTTGTGTGTATATTATGTCTTATGATGTGTTCTACTCTTGTGGCTGCTTGCGTTGTATCGTTGGATCCAACAAAGAACCTGAAGATGGCAGCATCCTGCCAAAACATGTAGTGTAGAAGGGGTAGATGGCATCATATGCACTTGAAGACTGTTAATATATACACACTATGAATATGAATCAGTGCAACAGGATGCTAAAATACAACATCTTTAATATTTGACAAAACAGTGACATATTTATAATTTTAAAGCATATTTAAGGCACTTCTTTTTAATGTATGCCTTATGAAGAAGACCCATATAGATTGCAATATGTAAAGACAGTAAAATAAATTACCTCCCATATGTTACACTGAATGGTACTCTTATTATCATTATAAACAAACACAGACAACACCAAATTAAAAATGGGGCAGCATTCATTAATTACACTTTCCCTCTTACCACAGGTTAATTAGAAGGTCAGATGTGATTTAAATTATTACAGTTCAGTTACATAAACTGTTAGGAACATGGACCAAGTTTGCTCTCTCCACCTTATGTACAAGGGCAACTTGTTTATTCAGTTTCAATGTATTTCGAGGGAAGTTAGAATGTGCATACCAGTGGTCCCTGCTATTTCACCCAAAATGAGTGGAAGTGTCTGAAGCCGTATAGAACATACCTAAAATTGTTGGATCTCCTTTCATGTATGACAAAATGTACTTGTTCAAGAATAAAGTACACCCACTGAAGAAATACCACAGAACTAAGAAGAAGATGGCCCGAACATTGAAAAGTCCTTCTTTGGAACCTACGGATGAACTATCATCACCATCACTTCGCCTTGCAGTTGGAACTGCAAGCAATTTGTTCCTCTCATCAATATAAGTATGGCAGTTCTTGTCACTGTCAAGACAGTGTAAGTCCTGAGATTCAGTCTGATCACTCAGATGTGAAATGAGAGTGTTATCCATGGCTAAATGAGCTTTATGCTCTGGTCTTAGGAACAGACCACACACATTAAGTAACTGTGCTTATCTACACATTGTGCTACATGACCCACTTAAAGGAACACCCACCATTTATCAGAAGCAACACACATTTCTCAGCTGCTCACAGTATTTCATGTTTCTATTTTTTAGCACAAATTAGTAGTCAGAATGTGACATATTAACCCGCATAAGCCAAACAGGTTAAATGCTGATCTTTGTAAAACATACTGTTGACAAAGAACCAACTTTTGTATAATAAAATGTGTGGTTTCCTGTCACACGGCAAATAAACGCCCACCTAGGAAAACCACAACTAACAAACACAACATCTTACAACACGACACTATCCACCCATCCACCCTATCCACGCTATCCACAGTCACAAGTCGCAGCACTTGCCGTGGCATTAAGTAGAACTATAGAACTGCTTATGTGTATTTTTCTAATTTCCCTTCCCTGTCTTAGAATTGCCCTCCTCGTAAAATTTTCCTTTCATATCAACGTACTTACAGGCTAATACAATTGTAGTATCCTGCGTCTAAAACATCTTTGAGCATACGTCATACTTTCAGCAGGCAACCTCACGGAAGAGAAGTCCTGTTTATTCAATTTGGTTGTTACGATAATTTTGGTTCCTATAGTTTGTTGAAAATTTCTTCTTCTTCTTCTATGGCGCAACAGCCCGATTTCGGGACTTGGCCTCCCTTATCCAGCCCGTCCATTCCTCCTTATCCTGCGCTGCTCTCTTCCAGTTCCTTACACCCATTAACTTCATCGCGTCTTCTTCCACCGCATCAATCCATCTAGTTCTTGGTTTCCCAGCACGTCTCCTACCACCTACTGTACTATCTAATATTTTCTTTGGGATACGCTGATTATTCATTCTCTGTATACATGCGCAGCCCATTGCAATCTTTTAAGCTTTATCGTCACCGAGATCTCTGGCTCCTTATATAATTTATATAACTCCTATTATATCTTATTCTCCATATCCCATTCTCTTTTATTGGTCCATAAATTCGTCCTAGGATTTTCCTCTCGAATGAATTTATGACAGATTTCTTTCTTGCTTAGCTTTCTTGTATTATCCCCATACTTACCACCTCCATACCTAATTTCATTCACAAGGGTCAAACGGTTCATTAGTCACCATCAAGCCAAGAACACTATTGCGCCAATGCCATTCTCTTACCTTCCAATTATCTTTTAACAAAATTACACGTTTTTCAAGCATCTATGACCAAAAATCATGTACAGGTGCAAATAATCTCTATTATGTGAAGGCATGCTTCTACATGCAAAAGTGAATCGAGCATTCACCACAGGGGCTAACAGGAAAATTGTGAAATGTTCAGTATCCACTAATATGAACACACCACTAATCCCTATCATCAGCCAGATGGAATACCAGTTCCACATTTCCACCTTACTTCCTTGAAACTGACCCATCTATGTCTAGGTCTTCCCAGCGTTTTCTTTCCTTAAGGTTCCCTTACTGAAATTTTGTATCCACTTTTCTCTTCAAGTACACTACATACCATGCCTGTCTCATCCCTTCAGTTAATCTTACCTATAAGGTATGAAGCTCATCATGCAATTTTTTCCAACCTCCTACCATTTCCTCTCTCTTGGTTCCAAATATTCCCCTTGGCACCCTGTTCTCAAACACACTCATTCTGTTTTCGTGAGACACAAGGCTTTCACATATATCCAAAACAAGAAAAATTACACTTTCTCAGTCTTACAGCTTTTATACACAATTGATCGCCCCCAATGATGTTCCTCAATCTTGCCCCTTTATTTGTTAAATTTCAGTGATCCAAAGTCAGACTTAGTGTCAAAGATTTTCTTGAGTTCAGTGTTCACATTCAGGAGCATCAGAGATTTCAAAGTGATTCGACTACAAGGCTAAAACAGTAGACCATCTTCAAATGTGAGGATACAGGATACAAACTATGGAAGTAAAAAAATTCACATGGAATGGTATTGAAGCCAATTTTATAATTTATTTGACTGAATGTATCTTATCTACATCTAACTGACATCTACATATAAAGCATCTTCAAAATAATATATATTATAATCTTATTACTGTATGTAGCACTTTACACAGGAATCACAAGTAAATGTGTGATGTAACCACAAATATTTCAAATCCAAACATAAATCAATAGGCATATTTTATCCCTGTCATAATGAAAACCTTTAAAAAACAAAAAACCCGGCTGAGGAGAGAGGGTAAGTTCACAAATAAAATGCAAAAGAAGGTGCAGCAAGGAGAGGAACACACCTCCACCCTCTACCTCAGAACCGAGTTGTGGCAGGGAACAGCAATTAATTTCCTAGTCACAGATTCTCCCGTCAGATTGGTAACACTTATGACCTTGCATTTCACCAGTGTTCTTCCATTCATAAAGAATATACTGTACGCACTTTTCATCCTGTTGTAAATTTTACTTCTTTTTTTTTACTTAGGATAAACAGAAGAAAATTTTGGATATCAATGTCAGTATTTTTTTCTCTGAAGAATACCTTGGAAGATGAAACTGGTAGTGAATATCTTTAACAAAATACACAAAACTATGAGCAGAAATTTTAAAAATGGGTCGCAGGTATATCTGAAAATACGTGCAGGCATGATGGGGAAGATGTATATATTTAAAAACAGAGATGGTTGTTTGAACTAAACATGTTGGACAGAAGTAATAAACACTTTCAGGTGACAAAAAGTCTTCTATCAGAAGGCCAACATTAAAAGCTACAATTTCAATTTGGTATAGGTAAAAACTTGAACATGAATGGAGTTATTTTAATTTTATATAGCAAGCATCCAATACTGGAACCAAATATAAAGCAGCAGCATAAGACAGGATGATCGTGACAAGAAGTATGCAACACACCATGCTGTTTTCAATAAACACTGGTACCAACATGCAACTACAAAATTAGTGCACAATCTCAGGCACTTCCAACGTACCGATTACCACAAGTTTCTAACCATCTTCACAAATATTAAAATCACTCTGTAATAAAATTTAGATACTAAAGCTATTCCCTAATCATGTGATCCTTCTTTCATTTGCAATCATTAAATATCAGGTATGTGTAAACTTCACAATGAGACATGAACAGTCTTGATATTTTAGTCTTGTTCTTGCAAAACAGCTGATTATATTTAATAAACCCTGAGAGCACATTACTTCACCAGGCTCAAACGTGAAAGAGCATTCACTTTTACACAAGTAATCCAAGAAAATGTTAGTTTCCACTGTTACAAAATTATAATCCAGTTATGTGCTATGCAGGAGTGAAACCCCAACTGATTCCTTGCTGGCTGCTCAGCAAGCCTTATCACATGCATTATCAGTGGCGATACAAGAATAAAGTATATCAGCAAAAAGAAGACCAGCAGGAGAGAAAAAATCCTCCCCTAGTGCCACATAGATGAACCTTGGCTCTGCAGCCATGTTACATACAGAGAGATACAGGATGATCTACATATTCTGTCACATGCAAGTGGTCCTTGGTTCATATATTACTGCATGAAGTTATAAGTAAAAGCACTCCAATATGTTGTCAGTGGTTTTCCTATATGGGGAAGCAAAATGAGTTATGTGATCAACAAATTGAAATAACATCATGAAGAGCCCTACTTTCTAGGTTGAGATGCTGTGTAGTTCAAGTCAAATATTGGAGGTAAATACCACATCTCTCTTCAGCAAAGAAGAGTAAGCCACACAATCAGCAGGCTTTGTTCTGTCACTGCCTGCTTGGCTCACTCGCAAACCCTGAACATAGAGACAGTATGTTCCTCATCACTGTGAGAACTTAAAATCTAACAAATTATATGACATTGGGAAAATTCTGAAAATAAATGAGAAATAAAATAAGGCAGAAGAACTGCAATTTAAAGGAATATATATTAACATCCAACAAGAAATGAAATATGAACTGGGGACTGCCCCAAATGTAGAAGACTGTAACTGTTTAGTGGAAAAAATACATAACTTTTAAATTTTAATTTTGAGTAGGTGATCTTGAATTTACATAAATGTGGCAACACAATAATGCCGACTCTGCAAAGAGCAGTTCTGTTGAAGTGATACCATCATATTTTGCACATTCAACAAGTCTTCTGAAATTATCCAGTTCCAACCTGAAACTACCATATTAGCCTGAACATAAGGTGAGGTCTTTTTTCCAAGTATTGCTTCTTAGAAAAGTGGGGTCACCTTATGTTTCCGGCCTTACGAATCAAAATGTAAATGATAAATTCTAATTCTAAAGACACTTGTGAAAATATCTAGAATTATATTAAAGGTATTACATTTTGAATAGACTATTTCATAATAATTAGTTTTACTTCTTTTTTCTTACAACCCTCAGGACTAAATGACATATTTAATTTTATCAAAACAATTTTTTTTTCATGATTTTTCTCACTGCATTAATAGGGTAAAGGCAAGGTAAAGCTATCCCTGTAACAGGCCATGGGTTGTGAAATGTCAAGGCTCCCACATTTTCCATACAAATGGCTCAAAGATGGCAGAAAGGTTGTCAGCCTTACATGCGGGCTGCACTTAACCCCATGGCCAAAGTGCAGCTGGAAGGGTTAGGAAACGAAAAAAAATCCAATGACCTCATCGGAAATTGGACCTGCGACCTTGCAGCTTGTAGAATAGTACCTCAACCAACTACGTTATCGTGGGCCCAGAAAATAATAGGGGATTGTCCTATATTCAGGCGCATATGGTATTACAATTACAGTCACCTAATATGAAAATACAGACACCATTTTTAAACAAAAAGCAAATACAACATCAATAATGTATACTTGACATTGACACTGCTGCCTTCTTCAGTTATATGTTAAGATACTATTTGCAACCTTTATGCTGTAATGTGCTCCACAAGTGTGTACACTACACATAATATTGTCAGTTCTACAATGCTTAGTTAATTTGCAAAGAAACCACAACCAAAGTATCCAACTCAGAATGAAATGAACAGAATTATCTGTATACAGCACAACCCCCATTTAATGTTCCTAGGTTCTCCTTCTTAACATTAATGATCTCAGTATCAAATTGCCTCAGTTTAGTGTTCAAACCCACTACTCAGCACAACTAACCTCAAATGGGGGGTTTTACTGCATCACAATGCCAAGTGTTCTACACACCCTACACTGTAAATTAACGTTTTATTTTCAAACTTAAACTATAAGACACAGCAAAAATAAAATGAAATATTATGCTGTCTACGATTTAACCCCCCCCAAAAAAATTTCTACCTTCCGACTAGCACCAAAGAAAAGAAATCCTTACTGTCTATACCACTGACATATATTTACGCTATCTTGAACTGATGCACGTAGGAACAATTAAAAATGATAGCCTTTAATTGCAATAAAAAGTGTTATAATCGACAGCTGCATTTATCACAACATTAATTTGAAAATACAAACTTTAAATCCCACTGTCTTGGTTATGGAGACCAAAAGTTACATGAAGTAGCAAGATTCATAAAAGTCACAGTCACCGTTTTCTGTTTTCAATTAAGCACAACAATATTACCTTTAAAACTAAGCACTCATAATATTTCATATATTAATAATTTCTCTGAATAAGACTACTGGAGACAAAGCCACACTAAGTGCCACAGTGTTGAAGTAACGAAGGTACACCAGCTTGTCAGTCTTGTACTGCATGTTACTCCATGAACAGAAAATGTCAGTACATTTACAAATGACAATGACTCACAATATTTCTCTGCTAGTAAGTTTAACTGGGATTTTAATGATCACAATGTGTCTTGAAATGATTGATTCCTGTATTTAACAAATATCAAGTAAAACCCGAAGGCCACTGAACCTGGCCAGTATCGCNATTCCTGGACTACAACTGATGCAGCTGGACATAAGTCTCAGGGCAAGAAGAGTTACATTGCTACTATGCTTTTAGTGGGCTAATGTATGACATTTCCAGTATCCACACTACTGCCATTGAATGGTATAGGGACTAACAAATTGGAAAGGATCTGGAAGGAAGTGGCCATGGCGTAACTGATGCACTATACTGTCATTTTTCTGCAAGGACTAAGAGAAACCAAGTGAAATCTCAGGATAATTACAGCCCTGACTGATGTCTGAACCCAGGACCCACTGAATGAGAGTCTATAGCAACCTCCTTGGGGTACTGCTGTGGCAAGCATGCTTTCTGCCCCCATCATGCTTCAGCATCTCCCCTGGAATTCCGCTATGTGACGTCATCCAAAAGAAGAGAAGTGAAAACTCCAATTAGTTGGGATACAAACGGTAAGAATGTGAGGAGGGGATAGGAAAGAGGAAAAAGAGAGATGTAATGTCAACTGATGACCAATGTGAGGAAACTGAGGTAATCACTTCTGGTGATGCAATAAAACAAAACATCACGACCAGCAAATGAGCACTGCCCGAGTTTTAGAACTAATCAACACTAACTGAGGAACCGTGTCTAACACAAGTGTGGAGTGACAAATGACAATGACAGTAGACACAATAACAGCACGGAATTTTGGTCTTTTAGATGACAGTCTTTCTTGCAACTATTTCTGGTGCATGTTAATCAACCATGATCAGCTGTGTGGCTGTGGAGAAACAGTCCCATTTAAATCAATGTCATATCCAGCAGCAGAACAAGTTGGTAGGGCAAGAGGTCCCCTTGGAAGTCAAAGTGGAGTATTCGGATGACTGCAGCTGTGGTTGCTAAAGTATTTATTATATAAAATAAAGGTACACTTAACAAGACACTTAAAATGCTTCACTATGATGCATCACAAACAGTTACAGAAAAGAAGCCAAAGTGGTGAAAAGTGTTCCGAGTCTGCAGAGATATCACATGGCAATGTGATTTTCATCGGTGATAAAAAGGGAACAACTGCATTCTAAAGGTCTTGAACAGGTCAGGAAAATGGGAGCAGTCCTCAAGTTATCCAATTTTAGCAGCACAGTTCCATATGCAAAGTTAACATAAATGCTGTGTCTAGACATAGACAAAGAATGCGGCTAAAGACCTACTCTTCCTAACTTCAGCACTGGTTGCACATCATCACATGCTTTCCACCTCTATTCCTGGAATTCATTTTGAGAGATGCTGAATAAAGTGAGGTCTCTGCCATGAACCAACCTCCAGCACCTAGTCCACAGGCTATCAACTGAGATATCATGACGACTTCTGGTAACTTTATCACAAAATGAACATTGTACCACCACTGACTCACAAGTCTCAGTCTACGAGATATATTTAAATACAGAACAACTGAAAACATTCAGCAACGATTAAATCAAAAACTAAATCTGGATCATATGCAATTATATTTCAAGACTTTCCGAAAATAATTCTCCATCTGTCTTAAACCATGAGGACTTTTCAAGTCTGAAATCCCACCCCATCCGTTCCCACTCAATAGCCATTTGGTTGGTATCACTGAGATGTGTGGTCTGAAAGGCTGAGTGAGTGGAACATAGGCAAGCACCAACTGGCATGGACCATGAGGGGAATTCAAATTAATATACTATCATGGGGTGGGGGTACAATAACCACTGTTGTTATTGCTTTCAGCAGTAATATACATGAACTGTACAAATCATAAGGTACACAAGTCTATATACAACACATGCACCAAAAGCTTATGATTATCATATGTTGAAATACATCCATTTTGAAAACCTATTTATTCTAACAGTCTGGAGTAAAACGAGGACCTTATTTAACATTAACGATTGTGAATCTCTCTCCCAATGGACTAACTCACAAATTATTCTTGCATAAAAGCAAAAAACACAGGTAAAAAATAAGCTTTAAAATCTGCATTAAAAATGCTCTCCATTCACGCAGCTGCACAATATGGTAGAACAAATGCAGTAGTGGCACCTGAAGAGACTATTCACAATCTGTACAGGAGCTTTCTCACACATTGCACCAGCCATTTTTTGAAACACTACAGCATGAAATCACTGAAGATGTCAAGTCACTCAAATTTTTATAGCTAGAGACTCCTTCCCAACTTCACTCACTGCACAATGAGGTCCCACCAGAAAATATAAAAGCTAAGCATTCTATATACACAGCAAATAAAAATAAGCACAAATGACACCTGAGCCTCATGCAGGTCCTCACTTGTGCCCTTGCAGATTAAGGAATTTTAATTTGGCCCAGGTCCATGTCACACAAGAGAAATAATGTGAATAACTACTTCAGGTCAATGACTTGGTGCCCGCAGACACACCGGCAGAGGCAAGCTCAGTGAACTTGTGGAGATTTGTTCTAAAAACAAACAGCTGGAATTTTTTAAGTAAACGTAATCGGCACTTCAAGTGATGCAGTCACTTGCTTATTCAGACATGTTTCACGTTCACAAGCAGGTAGAAACATAAAGTAATCATGTGAATGATGTGAGACACAGGAAGAACTGCTGCCAGTCACTTTTACTTTTGCAAGAATCTGTAAAATAAAATTAAACTTTTCACTGTTACTGGGGAGTTTTTCTGGCTTCATGTATTTGGGGGGAGGGGGACACATCACATCCATGTTAAATTTTCCTGCAGTATGTCTGCAGGAAACCTAATATTGTGAAGAAAAGTCAGATTCTGCATTCCTTCTTGTATATTTCTATCATTTTATATAACGTTTGGAAAGACTGTAAATTCATAAATGCCGCAATCAATGACAGACTGAGACACAAGCAATACATACATATATATAAACTTAAAAATTACAAATGCACTACATAAGACAAGTACAGCCTGCTTAAATGAAAATGAGAACAAATACTTAAAATATCTAGAAAGTAGCTTTAATAGAATTCACAATGTTCATGAGTGGAGTAAAATCTGACAGGTGAAAACTTATTTTATGTTCAAACTTCACTGAGCCATAAGACTTGGCAAATGATGTAAAGTCAGGATTCTATAGATGATGATAGGCAAGCTACAAACATATATAATTCATAACAGTTTAAAAATTGCTGAAAGCACAGATAGGAACTTCGGCTCTGCAATGAGTCAACAGATATTTAACTGCTGCTCATCCAGTGGGAGAAGGAAAGCGATCACAAAAGCGTCTGATCAGTCAATTCAAAGATGACATTTTAAAACCAAGCCTTCATTTAGTCTATATTACAGCTAACTATCCTTGAATACAAGTCATGCTAAAATTCTGTGTTCATCAATTAAAAGCTTTATGACATCTGATGGGGTGAGTACAGAGGACTTATCAGGTATAGCAAAGCCACCACACTATACATGACTTAAGTCTGAAGCTGAGTTATTCACACTATATTCTGATAGATTCTATTTGATAAAGAAGACGAAAAGAGATGTTATGGGATTCTTCCGCACTTATGAACCAATGGCACTGAGTTCAGTTTACTGCACTGTTATAACGAAGTACAGGTATTCAGCATAACAATCTCGTAACATGTTCTGTGCCACCATCGTACATGTTAAGGAGCCCAAAATTACATCCCTTAGAGCAAAGAAACATGAAAACAAGTTCCATATGTTAGAATGCAGATACTGTTTTAATGGGGGTATAGTAGCGGACTCATAAAACGCCTGCGAGTGTATAATTTAAGAAGATACATGTAAAATACGTTAAAATAATATCCCACTGCTCTCAATAGCATTACACATGAAAGATTATGTTATCAGCATTTAACCTGCTATACGAAGCAAGAGTATCTACTTCAGTGAATATACACTGCTACATGATGGCAGCACAGTACAGTCACTTGGTCGAGCAGAGTGTGGCAGTTCTATTAGAAGAGACGAGCCCGCCGCTTGATGTCATTTCGTCTCCACTGTGGCAAGCGATAGAACTCAACTCGGTTGCATTGGAACAATGCCTCAAACTCCGCATCAGAGAGGTGACGCTGCAAAAAAAAGGCAGTTACAGTTAAGAGTTCATACAGTCTGTGAGATGCAGACAAAGGAGTCACATTACATTTAGAAAAAGAAAGTTTGTGTTTCAAGTCCTCTCCAGATAATATACCATTAACAATTCCAATACAATATCGAGATGTTACTACTTAAAAAATTCCAGAACAGCAGCAATATCTAGAATACAATGCCAGTAACAAGCCCTCAAGATACTAGCCTTCTATGTTTTATATGTGGGCATTTCTCAGTGTCACTACACAATTTCAGTTTACCACAAGAATGAATTGTCTAATGCTAACACACTGCATTAATGTATGTTACATGGTAGATCACAAACATGCAAGCAGTCTTTTGTTTCAGTGTATCGTATATATTGTGCGAGTAATGATAAAATACGCTGCGAATATGTGAAGTGTACTACACCACATAAAGAGAACTGTTTATGATCGACTATTTGTACATGTTAATCATGGAAGATGGCATTAAACTATACCGTCAGCATATCGTTTGATAACACATTCAACTAGACAGGAATGCATGAAAAATCAGGGGAGTTTTAACAGTACAGAAGCTTACATAAGAAAAGTTTTCCACTGAGCTGTTAACAGTGTTACACTAATTTCTGTACACTTTATAAACATTTCTGGAAGCCACTATTCATGACCACCTACAACATACTCTTCAAGCGCACTCCCCTGTATACTGAAACTGAATAATAATGGACAGTTAACAGAAATCTGCTATCAAAAATCCACTTCCTTACCTCTAAGTTGAGTCTGTCCACATCAGCAGGCAATCTGTAGTTAGTGATGAGCAGCAGGTGGTATGGGTAGATTTTGGCAGGTTCAGTAGACATAGAATGGGCCATATTGGGCAAAGATCGGCGGAAGTGAGGGCTGTATGAGGCGGCATAACGGAGTCCTCCCGCAAATGTAGTCGACACAGGGATATCAGAATTCTAAAGGTTAACAGGCACTTGATTTAGAAACAAACTGAATAACATGTGAGCAAAACACAATGTACTTGCAGAAGCGACAATATCATTACTAATACGCAGAACAGGCATGTTTCACTATCAATCTGGGTACAACATACAAATGTATAAAACCAGGCTTAACAGACAATCGCAGCAATTTTCGAGAAGCTACAGTAATTACAGCAGTGAACAATCAGCTACAGAGAAGCTGTTGCATCATGCTCTTGGGAACACTGACCTTACTACACATTGAACAAGTTCAATGCATGTTTCATAATTAGCAACTATTTGAACAGCATCTGAGGAAACACATCATATGAGAAGAAGAAGAAGAAAAAAAAACAGACCACAGAAACCCTAGTTCATTTCAGATGCTTTGAAATGGAAAAATTTGCTGGTCAAAACATACCCTAACAGGAGGCCTGGTTCCTAAAGACGCTGGACTAAAGACTGAGTTATGAAGGCTGATTTAAGAATCTGCCCAATGCAATCGGTGATTTAAATTATATTTAAAAGACAATGTATAGATATTCAAAGCAGGGGAGAGGCACAGGAAGATATTGCAAGGCTTGCATCAGACTAACGAAATATCTCAATGGAACTGAACTTATGTTAACACTATCAGAACTGATTGAATTTGAACGTCTTCAGCTACCTGTTACTTTGGATGTCTGTATGCAGGCCTGTTCACATTCACACACTACTCTTAGAGTTACCTGTATGTCATACAAATAGTGCATAAATGTTAACAGGCTTGCCTTCAGACACCGGAATAACAGATTTAAATGCAGGGGTCCTGTTATACATGAGGGTTGCATTTCTGTAAGTTCCTAGGTGACATAGAAGATTGATCAGTGAAAGAATCTGGACATTTACACTGCAACATGATCACAGATTCAATTAATTAGTCTCTACTGTAATGGCACCTGTGTGAGGATAGAAAACAGGCAGCGCTGCTAATGGCAAATAGAAGAATTATGGTGCTGTGAGTGAATATACGCACATCACAACTCTGTTCTTTTAAGCAACTTAATAAAAATGGTAATTTTCTCTGAAAAATTTGCCAGTTGCATATGAATTCCAGATACTTGCATACTGGATCGCCAGAGTTTACTACACTAGTTACACAGCAGTGGGTTCTGAATAGTACATCTGTGTCCTTCACTGATGTTCTGACTGTTCCGTGGTTAAGAAGATTCCTGCCTCAGGATAACAGGCACACACAAATATTATTCACTAATTCCTTGTCCATTTTACTAAACAAAACATGTAACTACTGATTTCAGGCTTTCATGATGCTTCACTGTTGAAGTTGGTTTCACTTCTGCATCTTTGCACCAGGTGAATGTGGGCAGGGTTGCCTCCATCTTCAGGGTTGAAATAAGCAGACTGGATGAATGTCGTATAAACAGGTTTTGGTCCAACATATACATTGTGCTCATTGTACTCTGTGGCCCTAAACAAGGCCATTTTGATAACTCTTTGCCACCCACTGTCCCTATGGGAATGGCCCTGGTAGTTCCCAACCTCTCCTCTGTGGGTCTAATGACCAAGTTCTATAGATACATGAACATGTACTATGAAGATGGTGGCAGATGCCTCAGAAACATCCGCAATATTGCTCACATCCAAAGACAGCAAACATTACATGAGCAGAAACAATGTAAAAAAAATTTTGGCGTTTGAATCTTTTCCCAGCCCTGCCTGAGTTTCATGTGACAATTTTTACACATTAATATAGTCAAGAGGTAAAATATATTATTTGTAATAACTTAGCCAATATGTTTACATACTTGAGCCAGAAACATGACATGAAATGTTCACAATAATTTGAAATAATCTCCCACTGTGCCAATATGTTCTTGTGCCTTGTTTCTAAATTCTGAATGACAGTAGCTCACTGAGGACCAACTGAGATAGTAGAGAATGTTTATAATCAAAGGGTATGCACAAAGAAAACTGTAACAGATAAACCAGAACGGTTGCCTTCAGGAATGCAGAAAATGGTGACAGACCTCAGTCAAGATATGGTTGAACTTCACAACAAATATTCACCCGTTAGGTATGCGAGTTATATCAACAGTAATATGTTGTCAATGTGATGGTATAAGGGAAACATGTACTGCATACAGAGTTTACGTGGCCCTTTAACGATGGTCAAAGTACCACTTCTGCAAACCATATTTCCGCACATCATTTTGGTAATTTCCCACTCAAAAGTGAACAGCAAATGTTCCCATTCCATTTTCAAAGATTAAACATCAGTATTAGCGAGAGAAGTAGCAAGGTATAGCAGGATAAAACAGAAGTTACGAGAGTGACAAGCGAATAACACATAAAAACATTTTCATACACATGCAGATACCTCAACGGCATTATCATTTCTTGCAGTGCGTGTCTCTTTTCACTTTTATCCTCTATACCTTCACTAACATGTAATCACTTTTCACATGAAAAAACATGACACTTTAATGGTACAATGTTGTGAAGCAATAGCTACATCCACAGTGTAACTCTCTCACTGTGTATGGACAAGCATTATGTGAAACCAAATTAAATCATAAATATGAAATTATGAATGAATATAAACCTTGAGACTCATTTTGAGGCAAACTGACAAATACTGCAGAGAGCAGATGGCTTTCCATCTCTCTCTCTCTCTTTCATCAGAGACAATTTACTCCGCCCTTTCCTCATTAATAGACTTTACATACAATTCCTGAACTAGGTCAAAATTTAGACAGATATTTCTATAAAGAGCACTACCTTCTAGGACATGTAGCCTGGTAAAAGTTTACAAAGTTACAGAGGAACAAACTGTCTCCATTTTCTTTTGTTCTGCTTGCTTGGCTCCATCTTCTGCCCTGAAAATGGAGGAATATGTTTCTCTGAAACACCCATACACTTTTACCACATTACATGGTACTCGCATCACACCCCAGAAGATAGTACTCCCCACAGCCACTGATGTGGGAACCTCAAATCCAACTTTTGACCTTCTTTACTGTGGCTCTGACTGCCACACTTTTCCATACAAATGTCAGTAGATGTCACCACAAGCTTCTCCAGTGAGAGTGTTGATGTAACTGTCATGCTGAAGCAAGAACAAAGGCAGCAATGCTGGCATAACACTAAAGCTCATCATGCATTGTTTTACTAAATGCACTTAGGCAAGTCCTGTGCAAGCAAGACACATCAAGGCATCACCACAGTGAAGGCTCAGATTAAAAAATAATAACATCGACACGGTCAACATCACCGTAGGCAGGAACCTAATTCTTTTACTCAAAGAGATACAACTATTTGCATCTCATTTTGACTTCTGGCTGATCTGTATATTATGGTACCATTTGAAAGATGTTTACTGGAAAGCTGGACATCCATTTTAAGGTGACCAGAAACTGCCTATTGCAAGAAAAATGTCCTCTGTAACTATGAAGAGGAGGAAGAAGAGGATGAGGAGGAGGGGGGAAGAGGAGGACAAACTTGGTCATAAATACTGTGATTGATTGTCTATGTTAAATTTGATAATTTCATTTAATGCCACATGAAGAATTTGCAACACAACTGGATATATCATCTCTGTCCTATGGTCAGATTAGCTCAAGCAGTAATGTTCCTGACTTGTACCTGGGAGATGCCAGCCTTAAATCTCAGCCAGCACACTCACTAGACTAAAGGTTTCCTTTGGGACAGTACCTTAAATCAGTCCACAATCATTTCTTTTCAATTCATCATTCACTATCATTCAATCATTCGACACTACACAGATTGAGGTACTGAGAACTACAAACAAAACAAAGCAAATTATATGCATACACAAGACCAAAGCAACCCATAAAGCCCACATCACTTCAATCAGCAATGAGATGCACAGAACGAACACATTAAAACATCAACAACTATATAAATCTACAAATTGTTAGAAAAACCCTTCTGCCTCCATGACCACTCCCACTACAAATTAGTATCACCGAACCAATGTCTTCAGATTCGTACGTACCAATCCCCGCCTGTCCACCTCAGAAATGGATCCAGCTGAAACTAGGGGGGAAAAAGAGGTACATCTCAATCAACCAATAGCCAACTGCCAGATGCTAAGTTACTAAAGGGAATGGACTGCTCTGGTGAAGGATATGGGAGGAGACTCATTATTTTGGGTTTTGCAATAATAATAATAAGGAACTGGTCACTCAGGAAGCCAAACCAAGAATTTTACATAACTACAATTTGGATATTTTGGCAGTAATCAGTATACCACATACCTACTTACTTCTTGGATCTACAGACCTCTAAGAATGCCTCATATGTAACAGATTTCCAACTTTTCTCCATTATTTGCCTTTGCCTCCATCTCATCATTTTCAGCTCATTTAAATCATTCTCTGCATCTTTCAGTCATCCAACTTTTCTTCTAATTTCTGTCTTATTTTTAAAAAAATGTTCTCATCCAACCTTTCTTGACCCTGCATAATCACATGCCCCAACCACTCTGTCCATCTGGTACCAGATGACAGGATTCATTAAACTCCCACAGTTCTTGGTTAGTTCTGATTCTCCACACACATCAAATGCTTTAGAATTAACATTCAAAGCAAATTTTTAATGAGCCCAAACGTTTTTTTATTAACCATCTGGCAACGCACAGACAGCCTACATCACGCCCTCTGCACTGTACAGAGTGGTCTAGCAGTACCACTCTAGAGAGTTGTATTAGGGAGGAGCTTCAGTTAAATTTCAATTTGGACACTGTATACCCTGACAGTTTTCATTGTTTTCCTCAGTCTCTCCACGCAAATCCCTGTATATTATAGCGATTAGGCACTGACCACTTACATCCAAATCGTTCCAATTCATCATTCACCCATCATCCTATTATCTGACGGTTCACAGTCTACGTCACTGAAAGTGGCATAAAATGCCCACCTCTAAACCCTCTGCAAACTTATTTCTTAATATTTATTAACACTGTGATCCCCAAAAATACTGAAATCAAAGCACCATCCCCATAATCCATTTCATGCTTTTTGTAATGCTTTGAACATCTAACTCTAAAATTATTACAATTATTAATTAGAATCCTTTTATAAAATTGGGCTGCAGATATTTTCAATACAATGAAGGGTACCATCTTCTGGTACAAGGTCACAAGTTTCACAGGAACAGACAGCTTCCATCTTTACAGGGCCAAACTGAAAGTCAAGCAAACAGCCAGCAACTCTTCAACCCCGAAGGCAGGGCAAGCACGTTCTTATGAAACGTTGGTGACCTACTGAACTACACGGCGTCATAACAGAGTACTATTCAGTCACTTCTGTGACAATCTCATATCCAGCTCCGAATACAATTAATTAGTACATATATAATCCAACTACTTAAACCTCCTTTATAAATTTTGCTTCTTCATGTAAATAAATTTGTGCTGCATTGTAATTATACGAGTATACTGGTATCTACACTGCAATATGATACTAAAACTGCAAAAAGAAAACTGTTACATTTCCCTTGTTAATAATAGTAAATGTCACTAAGAAAGCCACAGGAAATCATTATTATGTTGGATGTCTTGTGTTGTCTGAAGAGCATACATATACATGTGAAACATTTTGGGAACTGGATGTATTCCTGTCTTCAGATAATTGACTGTCATCTTAGTGACTACATTATCTTTATTCATATTTTTCAAGATCAGTAGCAGCTGTCTACAGACTGGTAAGCAGAATCCTTAACACTGAACTGTTATACAAATCGCCCACTTAATCAAAAATCTTTAACCAAAACCATAAAACAAAGGTTATATGCAAACAATAAGTACACCTGAGAATGAAGATCACTGTTGTCTAGGATGATAACATGAAATCTAGTGGATAGGTATGGATATTCCTGAGAACCCAGCTGGAGAATATGGGAAAAATGATCAGTAACATAAGAAGGGGCGGTAAGTAGTGAGACTCTTAATGAACCAACATTGCTAACCAATTCTTCCCATGCAATTTACTCTTCCACTCTGAAGATGGAAGCAGGTTCCTCCACAACATTCATATCTACCAAACTATATTGCATCACATCCCAGAAGGCAGTGATCCTCACATTTACTGCCATGGGAATCTCACATTTGGGAACGTATCACATAACCTCAATTTCTTGGTAACATAAATGATTATGGTAAAGGTGGGATAGAGGGGAGGAACACTACAGATACTCAATACTCAACAACACTGTATACCCCAAGACTAATTAGCAGCAGCAACAACCTTAAAGCACTGTGAACCTGAGCTCACTCATAACGTGTTAGTTCCATTACTTGTGCACCAAGGCCATGCAACATGTGCACAGCTGTGGGCAACGAAGCCAACCAACAGTTGTGTTTAACTACAGAGACAAATATGTTCCAAGCTAGATGGCTGCCTAAACTGATTCAGAAGCACTCTTCATTGTGAGTTCAAATTGCTATGACTTATAATATGAACAACAGAGGGGTACTGTCTTTTCAGATGTGACACCATGCACACTGGTAGTAAGGCAGCAGTATTTTGGATGGATCAGTTGTCTCCACATTTTTGGTATACCCTGAAGACGGCAAGAGCAGGTTTCTCAAAATGGTGGCAGTGTGTTCTACAACATTTCTGATGGCTCGTTGTCGTAGTCGTAGTCGTCGTCATCATCATACAGACACTAATGCCATCATTACAAAATCACTAGATTCCATTTTAAACATGTGCTGGTAACTAAAGCAGCTATACCGGGGATTTGATTAAATGCACAGGGCTTCTCTTCTGTAAGTTTGCCTTCTCAGGGCATGCTGCACAAAGATGTTCTAGATAAAACACAGCTTCATATCGGACTACACGGTGTCTCATCACCAAATAGAGTAATATACAATCTCTTTATTAAAACTGTCACCGTTGTTTACATTCCCTACAGAATGGACAATACTTTGTAAGAAGAGATATCCAGTTTTACTAGTACTGCAGTTCAGTGGTGTATATTTATGTTAGCCATGTATTTGCCTGATGATGGCTATAATAGCCAAAACATGTAGCAGAGCCAAACTTTGCACTGAACTTAATATAGTTGTGTTGTGACTGTTTTAATAAAGAAATTGTATATTACAACACAACAGAAGGCATGAAATGGGGGGGGGGCAAAAACACCACAGTAATGTTCGTATTCATTGCCACTGGAACTGCAAATCTTACATTCTTAAGTCACATGTGCTCATCATTCATCTCGCACATTTCCAATTCCTTAAAAAAGAATGTTATGTGGAACTGAGGCTTTAAAGACTCCTTACTTTCCTACTTTGTTTGTACCTGCCTTGAAAAATGGAAATGGAACACACAACACTAGCGACATTAATATTTCTGACGTGTAACTTTATTTCTTAGTACCAACTGCAAAAGCAGTGAAACATATGCCTGGCCATCCAGACAGACACTACAATACTGTTACAAATTCTGACACTTTCTACGTAATGCATATTCCTGAAAGCTGCATTTCTGATCTACAGCTTCACTTTCGGAAGGTGTAAGAATGTGAGAATGCTTCACAATTTAATTCATGACTCTTTCAAAAAATTTTATAATTTGTCTTTGTTCTCGTGAAGACAGCCATCTCTGACTTCAAAATTTTTCTCTGCAATTAATGCTCCATGAGACAAAGGGAATTATTGTAAGGCAGGAACACTACATCACCCTTCCATGATGCTGTAAGCATACTGCTTCTACATCAACCTGAATCTTATCATATTGACAGGTGTGACTGAAACAGGAAATGGTTGGATGGACATTTAAGTGGTTCAGTAACAGTGTTCTAAAGAGGAAACAAGTTCTTCTCAAACCCATAAAGAAAGTTAAACTTCCACTGATTTCAGGCTTTCCAGTAGTTTACCATTCATGCTGATTCTATCTTGGATGCACTGTGTGGATCTGGCAACACTACTGAAGTGTCAGATGAACATAGTGACTCCATGCACATCCAAAACATCAGCAACATTGTTCAGATCCATGCAGTGTAAGATCCCAAGAGTAGAATTGGCAACACTCTGACTTCCTACGAGATTCTGCATCATAGTCAAGTGTCCCACAACTGAAACTCAGGCTCTTCAATTCATTTTAGACTATGTAAGATGGAGAAGGGGTCATGAATTTAGTGCTCTAGTAACTCAAATGACTATGCTATTCCCATATGCTACCAGAATATTAGGTTGGAGTGCGGGTGCGCGCGCACGCACGCACGCACACACATGCACATTCATAGAATTTCATTAGAGCGTTGCCTAAAGCTGTGATTATACTGGACTTTTATAAACCAAAATTAAATTTACCCAACAACCTCCAAATGCTAACATCCCAACAATAAATTTCATTTAAATCTGTCAAGTTGGATCAGAGACAAAACACGTAGCTGAACGGACAGATTGCAGCTAACAAACTGCATGTTTATTTTATGCACTTAAGCAAGAACATATAACAGTACAAATGATAATGTAATCATGTTGGTTAACTTCTAATGCCCACATCTGCACAGAATAACTTAATAACTTGTCATTTACTGGCTCACAAATAGTATTCTACCAGCAACTTAAAGAATGTACAAACATTTCAGGTAGTGATGCCCCTCATTACATGAGCACCTTGTTTCGTTCTGCCTACTTTGACCACTGCTGTTGTTCTCCTGGCTAAGAATATGTACACGACAAATGAAGGCATCACAAAGGTTTCATATACCCAAAATATAAGAACTTCTCAGTGCTAAGAGATACAATGGCACTACGGCGGGAAATGGGGGCAGATGCATGCAGAGGCCATCAAATTAGTGCCAGGGTGCTTCATTTTGAGAATGCTTTATCCTGTGCCTTGAGACACCATAACTGTCCTTCCCAACAATGACATCTGTAAGAATGAATTCTTCAGTCTACATTGTCATAACTTCCTTTATAATATGTGCTGGTCACTACCCAGAATTTTCTGCTGAGCTGAAGGGCCTATCCAGTTGTGGTATACAGTCTTCCCAGTTCTTAACTTGAATGTACACCTGGTTCTGAAACTGAGCACAAACCCACTTCTTAAATGGAACATCTACTTAGTTCTGAACACAAGCATCCACCTAATTCTGGACTGCAGCACAGACCTAGTTCTGAAAAGCCATCTCCACTCCACCCTTGGCTGGCATATCAACCTAACTCTTACCCATGCAAGAGTGACCACACACGTTAATGTCAATATCATCATTAAAAGTGGATGTACTCTTCATGCATCAGAAATTGTTACCTGTGGCAAATTTCAGGACTGAACCAAAGAAAAATACAAAATGCCAACAGTAACACTCTAAAATCAATTTAATTACAATGAAGGAATTATAAATAACTCTCATTTTATTTATGATTATTATAGGTTAAGACATAAATTGTGTAACAATGTTACAAATTTAAAATTCTTCTAACTGCACATGTAGCGTTGTGTGGGGTCCCTTGACAGCATCTCTGCCAACTAAATCACCTTATTTGTGCTTTTGCGCAAGTGCGTGCATGGGGGAGGGGTGATGAGAATTTCAGGGGCATGATGGATGAACCAGAGGAAGTGAAATGAAAGCTGATTATGTAGTGACCAACACTGATAAAACAACACACAATTCTGATGCAACAGACAATTTAAAAATTGAAACTAATGTGATCCATGTAGCACTGTACTAGCCTTTCTCTGTTTGGAACTGTGATTTTAGATACACTCTACTTTTTAACTACATAGTGGTCCTAGTTGTGTGGTAACAGTGTCTTTTTGCTCCTAGGACTTGTGTCAAATATGCAAAAAAGAATATGAGAACAAAGCATGTGATGAACTTTGATGTGAAGCAAAGTAAAATACACTTGGACATAAAAGCATTTCACTAATTTTAATGTAATTGGTGACAATCAAGTGATTCCAAGCAAATTAAGTTAAGAAATTTACATCTCAGATGTCATGGAAACACTGAAATTGTGAAACCTGGTAACAACAAAACGTTTCAGAACTATCTTCTGATACATAACTTACAAAAACTCAGTGATGATGCATGGTCAGCTGGTGGCAAGAACACATTCTGAGGAGCAGCCTGAGATAACTAATTCCAAGGAGAAGAAACACACTTGAGAAGCTAAGAAGTACTCAGCTAATCAAGAAATGTACCGTCTCTTATACAACCAATACAAAACACCCTGACTGTTCACTTCCCTCAATATTATGTTTGCTTTAGGCTGACCCTTTCAAAGTGTAAAACTGAGATTTCAATGTATTATGCAGTCAATATCTCAGTAAAAATTTGGAATGAAACAGGGCGTGCATTATATTTCGGTAAAAATAGCATCAGTCATTTTCTCAACTTCTTATAGGCTATAATCACTGATAATATCCCTTCTGTGGTAAACCGAAAACAATGCTTCGAAATCATGTGACTGTAAATTGGAACAAGGATGTCATTGTTCAGATTGTTTTCACAGCCCTTCACATTTTCTCTCTCTGTACATTAATAGAGACGAATGTTACTCACTGTCAGATTTCCCACTGCTGAACTCGGTGCTATGAGTTTTGTCACCAAGGCCACTGAATGAGAAATCACCCTGAAATTATAAATTTGTGCCATCTTATGATCATAAAAAACAAGCTATATTAGAAACTATAGTGAGAGAGAGACAAACACACAGACTAAAAACTTATATTTTGATCATATGACAATCTATCTGAATTAAGGCCTGGGTAACATGCTTGAACTTCCACTGTATAAGGATTACATAGGTATAAGCATTTAATGGCATCAAAAGAGGTGGGGGGGCACATGTATAAACTATTGGTATCTTATTGAGCACTAAAGAAATTAGTCTTTGCTGACAATCGAATTAACACTCAGAGATCTAAGGAAGATCTACTGCGTCATGTACTATAAAACCTTGGCTAATAGAATATTAAAAAAGACCATCAATAAAAACAAAAGGTATGATTCTTAAAGCAAATCATCCAATCCAAAACAAATATCTTACATTCAATTACGTAACAAGTTTGACAATGAAATTACTTGGGATCTGACATTCCTTATCAATCTGACTATGCTGTATACACACTATTATCGCATCTGAACCAGGGCCTATGTGAGACAATGAACAGAACATAATATGACAAGTAAAAAAGAAGACAAATCTCAAATCTTAAATAACTATATTTCTATATCAAACACAAAATCTGAAGATGTGTTAACAGATGTACCAAATCACACAAAATGAAAATGACTGAAGCATGCAAGATCACAGGCACACATACACATGTATGTATGTTTGTATGTATGTATGCATGTTACGTTATGTTGCGAGGGAGAGAAGGAGATAAATGAGTGTATGCACTGCAAGACGGATGTTACGTTATGTTATGTTACATATACGTGGGGAAAGCCAGGTCACTCAGCTGGTGCAATAACTACACTATGGCTTCGAATAACAAATTGTAGTACAATTCTTGCCACTGCCATGAAATATTTTTCTTCTTCAGATAGACCAGACTGATTCCGGGGCCCACCCAGTCCCTATCCAAGGGTAGTGGGGTTACTTCTCCATAAGTCAGAATTAGAAGGCTAATATTTTGAACACAGTTTCATGTAATGTCAAGGATCACTAAACTGTTTACTGACCAACACAAAATTGACATAACAAATGTTAATATCTACTGCATGTATTCTGGCTATTATGCATTTCATGAATATGAAAATGAGAACAGCTAAAGTAACCACACCAAGCCTCACCCACTCAAGTGTCATGCATAGTTTCACATACAAGAATAACTATCCTATCTCCCTATGTTTAGTTAAAATAGCTTGTAGTAGTCACTGTAAGTTATAAATTGTAATTTTACTAACCACAAGAGTGGGTACATATCCTACGAACTCTATCGTTTCATGACAAAAACATATTCTATTTTTTTTACACAAGTACGAATCGGTACAAGCAAATATGAAAAAAAAAAAAAAATCCTCAATTTAAAGGCAACATATACTTTACAGAAACACAAAAGACCAATGTGCAACACTGCCAGTGTTTAATAAGAAGAGAATAGGGTGTAAGTTATTTCTAGTTTCTGACACCACTAATGAACCAATTTTTCCAATCACTTCTGCTTCATAAAGTACATAGGATTTTTTTAAAGACGTTCACATCCAAAAGTAAGTTCACTCTACTCAGTTTTAATACAGATTCTTGAACACTGTAAGCAGACAGCAGAATTATGAGAGGTGCTGAGGCTCGCACACTAACCTCAAATGTCTATCAGTCCATTTACCTCGTAATCATTTCATTATTCATTTCTTTGCATGAACTACAGCCATTTTAGATACGAACACTTTTTATGAAACTTGGTCAGCTAAAAAGACAGACTTCCATCAGTTTAATTTACTTACTGTGGAATGGAAATAAACTACTGAAGAATTATCTTAAGAGATTAAAGCTATTGCTGGTACTTAGAATGTAAGGAACTGTACTGCAGATTTGTCAACCTAACTAAACGTTTGTCGTTACTGAGTGGTGTAATGACCATCTAATAACACGCTTCAGGCTTGAAAAATTAAGGGGGGAGGGGGTCCATTATTATATCCAAGGGGGCATAAAGTCATATCATTCATCTACATCTACTTTAGACAATGATAAATACAATCATGCAAATGTCTCTTCACATGTTTTTACCATCAATGGATGAATGGAACAAGGAAAAGCATGTCTACAAACATTAGCTACTGCCACCAAAGAAACAGAGAGGACTTACTCCAATGTTGGAAACACTGCCCCCCGTACTGCTGAATGTGTGAGAGCGTGGTGCTAGTCCATAGCCTGGTTTTGGCACGTGCCGCAGAGCGCTAACAACTACAACCAACACAAGAAACCCCCAACAGAGGGAAATAACACCATACATGGGACCCCCAGTCACATGCTGTCTATCTTCTGACAGTAAAATCCACAAGCCAAATGACCAAGTTCTCTCCTATGGCCCATGAAGCAGTATCAAGCAAGTTGACTCAAATGGTAACATTTATATTTGGGTGGTAACCAGCCTGAATCTTGGCTGGGGCATGAACAATTTTGACAGGTTTCTGTGGTTGTCCTCAGCCCTTGCAGGCAAATTCTCGGATAATTCCTCAAACCAAGCCATGACCATTTCCTTCCACATTCTTTCCAATTCACTATTCATTAATCATACTATCATTCAACATGATACCGTCTCAGCTACTGACAGTATTATTAAAAAAAACACGACTTAACAATGTAGCAAGAAATTTTGATCTCTCAATGTGAAAATGGAGCATAACCAAGGCGATACCATTGGAAAGCACAACTCTAGTACCTGGTTTTCAAATTCACCAGTTACAAAAGTCATAAATGGGGCAGCAAACTTTTGGCATACATCTTGCCACAATCAACACAGTTAAATAAGTAAGAATAAGACACCAATATTTTGGCATCCATACTTTCAGAATCACTACAATTAATTAGGAATCAATGGGACAGAAAAATTTGTTATTCTTGGTATCAGAAATATGACTGAATTTTCAAATTAATAACTTCAACAACTGGATGGTAAGTGCTCCCAAGACTCAAGTCAGTCACTGATGTAACATGACTGTTAGACACTGTCCACTACATGAAGTATATTTAATGGCATTCTGGGGGCTGCGTAACTTCTTGAAACCAATGATCACTACACTGACCATCTCATTTTCCTCTCACACATCAACATTCAGGATTATGCCCCTTTGCCTTCTTAGTTGGCATATAAGATGAGTAATGAAAGAGAGGCGGAAACATTCAATTGCTGTCGCATGAAAACAGGAAAGACCGCCGACAGTAAAATGAGATTTATCTCAGACCAAGCAGAACTCCAGAAGCACTGCCCATGTCAATTACCATATTTATTCTTTAACTTCAGGCAGTGTTAAACTTCAGAATGTGACACACGATGGTGAGAACTACTCAATGCTGGTTAATGTTAACATATTAAAGACAAGACTTCAACATAATGCATACTGTCATAACATTTTTACTAACAGTGACATTTTAATAGTTCATAAATGCATGGACACTAACAAGCTATTTAATGATGCTGTACCAATCACTGAATGAGACCAACGACGCTGAGAAATGCGGAATGAATGATAGGGAAAAGAGGGCCAGACATTACTCAGAACTGGGGCTGTCAAACACAACTCCCATTAAATTCATTCAATAGGACATATACCACATTACACAAAATTTCACATGTTAATACCAGTCACAACAAAGCCAAGAGCAACATACTTGATACAAAAATATTGGAAACACTTGATGTGATTGGCCATTTTACTGTCAGGAGAAGACAATCTTGCAGTACCTGTAAATCATAAGTTTGTTATTGGCCACCACCCACTCAAGGAGGAAAGGGGAGTAAGCAAGCAAGGAGAGAGGTCACAAGGGAAAATGATACTCACAGCATAGACCGCTGGGCCACCATTTCGTCCTGCTGTGGGCAAAGTGGAGGACCTGAGTCCATATCCGGGCTTGGGAGCAGCCCTCAGTGATGATACCACTACAAACAAACACCGCACATCAACACAACACTGACTACTGACAGCTCATGTTTGCTACATGGGAAATATATACATATATATAGCGGGAACAGGACATCACTTGCACTGCTGTACCTACTGAAACCCATAGCGTGGTCCAAACCCCCTCTTACAAAATGCCAAGATGACATTAACAGTGTAGAATTTAAACTTTTGAGAGAAGACATTCACGGGAATACCCCCAAACAAACCGCTATGTTAAGCAATATTATTTTTATATAACGTACAGCGGGAAAGACAATTTTCTCACACATTTAAATCTGATCAGGAAAACAGAACATGGAAACCCACATTTTATACATGCCAATACTGTATAATTTTATTTATAATTGTGCAGCTTGCGCTGCCTGAATGTAATATGTAAACATGCAGCTATTTTGCATGAAAATTTTCATCTACAATATATTATGTTCAATACCCTTCGCCCTGTTTGTTCTATTTTAAAAGTACATCTGTCATATGCTGATAAAGCAAAAACAGTGCAAACACCAATTACATGGAATTGCTTAAAATAATCTTTTGCTGGAAAATGCAGTCTAAGAAATTTATAACACAAAGTTTTAAAGAACCACAGATACACACCATTACCTAAATTTACCTGACATTTACAAGACAAAACCAGGGAGGGGGGCACTAAATGCTGGTTATCATCCTCCAAGTGGTGGCACATATCTCACCATGGAAGCTGCCAGGAGGAGGAACTATGCATCTGCCCTTTCTCCCGCAGGTTTTTTTTGGGTTGGGGGTTAAAATTGAAGAAAAGAAATATAGCAAAAATTAAAAATAAAAATTAAATTATTTAACATTTCCTGGCTCCCTTCCAAGAAAAATCCCAGCAAAGCCCATATCTCTCACTTTCCACTTCAATGCCTTTAAATTGCAAATGGATATGCAGGGGGAAGGAAAACCTTTGTGCCCTTTGCCCCAAGGAATGTTTGTATAAGTAACAGCTGAAACACTGCTCCAACCTTCTTAACTTACATGAATGCACCTGAAGAAGGCAATGGACTGCATATCCAATCCACTGTAAAATCTTTCCAGTGAAATAAAATAATATTTGACGTGTCCTTCTTTGCTATTTTGACCTGAGGACACTTCATGTGTGGATACAACGTCCATTTGTAATTTCATGTACCTTATAGTCTCAGCATGTACAAGACAATCACAACGATTTCATCATATCATTCAAAATGTAACTTTTAATAGCAACGCTGAAGAACTAGTGCTTATTTACTGAATAATCCGAAAGCTTAGAGGTGCTCCTAATTACAGGTTTCACAAAAATGCTCTAATTCAAACACTGGTGTTTCCCAAGTAGCAAACATGTGACTAACATGCAGAAAAATAATCTGCTTTTATGTGCAAATCATGCAGACAAAAATTTTATGTTCTAATAATACATGCGAAAGTTTACATAATTACTTCGCACCATTATGTACAACACATTTTGTAACCATGTAACAAGATACTACAGAGCGAAAAAGTCATGAAAGTCATGTAACTGATTCACTCTTCAACGTTTATGCAAATACATGTGTGTGACAACACTCAAACATTTCCATGCAGTGTTCATGTGTCCTTCCAGTGGTGCTGGAGTCTCTGACAGTGCCACTTGCCACAACTTTTATTCACTCTGTACTTTTAAATCTACATCAGAAGGCAGAGATCTCTTAAGAAGAGAGTCTGCAAAAGCAGCAGCATATACAGCTGACAGAGGAACAAAAATTATGGAATTACCTTTTTTCTTGACAACCAGATGATGAGACTGAAGGAGACTACTACAGTGCATGATAAAATCTGTAGTCTCCGTTCAGTCTGCTTTTATTACCTTATGCTCATACCTCCCTTCCTTACTTAACTTACACGTTAACATTCAAGATATTTCCACATTTCAATATGGCTCTACTATCCACCATGTGAACATCTCTGACCAATTAAAACTTGGCTTCCAGTTGCAGTTTTAAGTTTTGCTCTTAGTAAGTTCAAATAATTTAGCTGATCTGAAGATGCATTCAGTTCACAAAGAAGACTGTTTTCTGGGATGTGATAGTCTCATACAAGTTTACTAATATTTCCGAGGAATGTATTCTGCTGCCATCTTCAGAACTGAAGACTGAGCCAAGTAAGCAACCATCAGGACGCAAACAAGAAGCTCAGCTCTCACACAGTTTTGTTCGCTATGTCCGCAACACACACTCGTTTTGTATTACATCATTTTCAAGCGAATTTAATGCCCCCACATATTTCCATGGCAGTATTTTCATGTCTAATGTAGATGAACTGCACTACAGTGTAGCCATTAAATTCAGCTGGAAATTATGCAACATGACAAATGCAGCATGGAAAAAAATGAGTGAAACAGCTTGAGGGTTTTCCCTACACACTGTTTTATGATATTCATTAATACACTGTATAAAAAGTTTAAAATTTTGTTTGTGGATGATTTCACGACACTGTCCATATTAGACTACACTAGGTCACATGCTTGAATGTTTGAGAAATGATGAACTGCAAAGAATTTGGAGAAAAGCAGTCGACACCTGACTCAGGCATCCCAGAATTTGCCTGGAATGACTGGATAAAACCATAAAAAACCTCCATTATGATAGGCAGCATACAGGCTGTACATTTTAACCATGCATCTCCTACCACTCCCACCACTATGAAATGTTACCATGTCAGATACCAATGTTCCATATTATATTGCTGAACATAAGTTCCAAAGTGTTTGTGTTTAAATATACTTCAATTAAGTATTAAGCCATGCACATTAATTTATAAACAGATATTATTTCACTAATGCTCTGTACGACAACTTATGTAACTCCAAAAAGCTGAAAAAACCTTATGGTTAATAACGAATTACAAAAATTATGCAGACATGCTGTGTCTGGCTTCTCCTACGAAAAATTTCAGGTTCAAATAAAAATTCTCCTGCATTCTATCCTACAGCAAACATTTAGTATTACACACAGCCTGAAAGTAATCTACAGAGATTCCTCTAAATCTAAGTTCAATCTACACCCAAGAAGGTTATAATTAATGTTAAGCACACCAAATTCCTTAACTCAAGTATACATCTGTATATTGTTTATGTTTAATATCTAACAAATCAGTGTATGTTAAACCAAGAGCATTATACATAAGAGTTAAAATTTATATTAAATTCTAATCATAAAACAGCAAAGCCCAATGTTCACTACCCTCTACATTTCCTTAGAAAATCTGGTTATTGTTAGCCTTGCAAACACACCAAGGATTCAAAATAATCAAGAGAAATGCAGGTTAACCAATAAGTGAAATCAAACATTTTGTATTCATGCAACACACAGCTTAAAAACAAATTAGCAGTTTCTCTCCTGCAAGTAATGCCAGCTAACAGAGTCTGAAAAATGCGTCTGTCATGCAGAAAGTACAATACAAATGTAAATACAAACTCTTGCCTCACCTTGAAGGGCTGCTCTTCAATGTCTCTATAAAATTCTTATAGGAAAAATAAATGTGGGTGGCCATTACAATATGGAAAATTAAACAGTAATTGCAAAGCAACTAATTACTTGTGAAAATATGATATACTACAAATTGCACAACTTTCAGAAATTATATAAAAAAGTCTGGTCACAGGTAGACATTGGGTCCAACTTGTGAGGGTAAACAAAATGACCATGCAAAGAATTTTACTATATTTACTGCATATATATCATGAATTTAAACAGCAGACCACACTTAACAATATTTTTGGTGACAGTTGCCCCATAGTCACCTTCAAGGTCTTCCACAGTTCAACCTATCTTCCTTAATTTTTTAAATTTTGTCTTTGGATATGGGAATATTTTTCTAAACTAATCACTTTAAGTAGAAAAACAATTTCATTATAGTGTTAATTCAAATACTTTTACTTCAAACATGTACATCCAGTCACATAGCATCAGAAGTACTAACCAACATTTGGGCTCAGACATACTGCTTACAAGAGATGGCACCAAAGCACAGAAATACCTTGCTGTTCTCCTCTGGTGCTGTTGACTCATGGCCCAAGGGTCTGGTAATTAAGTCTATTCATCTCTCTCTCTATTTTGTCATGTTCTCATCTATACAGCGAGTTTCGAAACCGCATGAAATTCTGTATATGACTCCCCATTGAGGGACACTATCAGTTGTAAGGATTCAAAAACTGCAAATCCTATTTACACATCTTGATCAGGGCAACACATTTTTCACTTGAACCGAATTATATGCTGTAAAAGACAATTTCCTGCTAATGAAGGGAAAAATCTACCTTCCTTTGTCAAATAAATTTCACTGAGGAAGAAAATTCAGACAGAATAAAATCTCTTCAGTGTTCAACAAACATGCTTATCCATTTTTCACTAACTCACAAACCTTCACATGTTAACATTCTGAGTAAAGTTTATAAGCATGCTTAGTGGGCTAGTAAATTGCTCAGTGGTTGAGCAGACCTGTTCAGCATTCAACATGTGTGTGAGTTGTATTACTCGGGGAAAATATCATATATATAGTAAATGCTGTCAGTCTTTAAGAGCCAATGGAGTAACAATATCTGTCCTCAAGAGTTTTAAACAATTGAAAGTTTAACGAACTTACAAACAGCAAAATAAACTTCACATAAACATAACCACTCAACTTGAAACTAATATCAAATTCGATGCCAGAAGCACCTAAAAGACAGTGATCATCATAATTACAAAATGATTCATTCAATACAGTTTCTGATAAAATCACATTTACTATGAACCTCAACCTCCCATTTCATAAGCATTTGTATTACTGTGGCTATTTTATTGCAGCAGTTATGTACAGAGACCTGCCTCCAACTTGCACTGAATTCAGCCCTACTAGTAATCAGAATACATACAAATTGTGAATTTTATATATATACCTGCAGGCAGATATAAAAACAATCCATTTATTTAGTAATTCTATGAATGATAAAGTAAAAACTGAAAGTTATCTAAACTTCAATTTTAACAAACAACACAAATTTCATTTTCCTCATTCAAGAGACGTGAAAAACTACAGTAAACACTGAAATTTCTATACAACAGAAACTCAAATTTCAAAAAGAAATATACCAAAATATAAACATAAAAGTAATCATCCTTCTATCCTCAATACTGCAGAGAATCAGTAAAAAATAATCTTAAGTGGCTTAAACATAAACAAATTTTCCTTGAAGCACCCATGTTTATAAAGACATTATTCTACAAACTCTTTAATTTTTGCTCCCTTCAATCATCACTCAAATTTCCAAATAATAATAAACCGAAAATTTAAATCACTATTTTCAAAAATAATTTACCATAGCACATACTACTCATCAGAAATGCAATACAAGGTTTAATGCATATTAAACTATGTTCTGTAGAAAGGACAAGAGTTTCATGGGACCCCGTATTCATAAGCTTCATGGTTCAGACAGAAATAATCCAACAACCACATTCCAGAATTAACATCTGTCTACTACTGAGAATGGATTACTCATTTGATCAAAAAAGAATATAATGGCACAAACTAATGGTTGCAAATGCAACCAGGTCTTCAAAATTCACTATAAACCCCCATGTACACTAAAAATCTTACTCTTTTATGTATTTCTGGCTGCAGAAACCCCAATCAATAGGTTCTCGTTAACAATTCCCATGAGGCAATGAAGCACCACCACCCACCAAGAGACCAACACATTCCCAATGTGAGCAGGAAGATTAATCACTCACCATTGTAAGTTGGGATGGTCCCTACAGAGCGTCCCACTGAAGATCGATAACTAGAACTCCGATCCATCAGCTCTTCATCATCCCATGGTCGAGGATGATCCACATTTCGAGAGGGAGCTGAAGCAGTTTCAGACAACACTCATGGCAATTAGGGAGAACTAGTTTCCAACAGTAACATTATTGTAAAAAGCATTCTTTCTTTGTTTAAAATGTACTACAATATCATGTTATTTACATTGCACTGTGAGAACACAGACACAAATCAGCTAACTAATACCATAAAGAGGAGTCATTCTTAAGGACCCAGCAGTTGCTCGCCTAATTCGTACATTTCCTGCCCTTAAAGGAATGTAAACAATCATTACTGTTCATAGAAAACTTCTTGCGAACCTTATTCTGAGCCACATGAAGCCAGCTCACATTCTCACAACCTAATTATGCACTAGCCATATTTATATTAACCTCCCATTTATGCGTAGATTTCGTAAGTGGTGTCTCCGCTTCAGGTATCTTTACTTGAACGCTGTGTGTATTTTCCTTCAGTCCCATGTCACCCTGAATTTCTTACAACTGTCTGAGCATTTCCTCTCATGCACACTTTCATTCTGCATTAAAATGAACTGATCATCTGGGAAATAATATTTACAATTAAACACTGTATGAACTTAAGCATTTATACTCAATTTTAAGCTCTCAGAGCAGCGGCTACAAAGAGTACTACCTTCTGAGATGTAACACTGTGTAGCAAGGTGCAAGTGCACTGACGTTTCAGAGGAACATACTGCCTCCATCTTCACGATCAAAGTGTGAGCATACCCATTACATATACTTATGATTTCTCTACCGCTTCATCACATTTACTGCTATAAAAATGCCTCTTTTCAAGTCCACTTAGTTCCTCTCATGTTAAGCTGGTTCATTCTGAGCTTCTTCGAGATCAGAAGGCCCTATCTAAATGGCTGTTTCCTGTGTTTGCGTATAGTCTGCTCTGCTTACTCTCTGACCCTGACAATGGAGCGGTTATGTTCCTCCAAAATGTTGGCAGACTTCAGCTTCTATCAGACTTACAGGCATTGACTGGAGACTCATAGCGGAGACGGTACGCGGGCTCACGTGCAGCAGATGGGGTTCTTGATGCGTTGCGAGGATCAAGATGTGCCAACTTCCACTGTCGCAGTTTCTCGCGCTCACGCACATTCTGCAGGAACACCTTTCCGATACCAGTTGCAATCTTACTCAATTCCTCCTCCTCTTTCTGTTTAAGAGACATGCAAATATTAGGAATCAATTCTTTTGATGCGATTGTTCAACTTGGAAGCTCTGTGGTTCATTCTACCCTAAAACTTTACTTGCTTCCTAGTGTTCCTGAAAGCAAAGTTCACAATGAGTGAGGCAACCACATCACAGCCTATTTCCTAACACACACAGCAAGGGCTTATAACGTGCCCTGCCAGACCCTCTACATATATATCACAGGTGAAACTAAATCACCTTGAGTTTCCGGTCTTCTATTTTCTCCATATCCTCCTTCTTCTCCTTGCCATCCACCTCATCCTCTTCGTCAGAGTCTGGAACACCTCTGTACGTGTCCGACCACCTCCTCCGCCGTTCTACAGAAGAAGTCACCACATTAGTATTCAGTCATGTCTAAATGTCTACCAACAACAGATATGTTTGTTTATTTAGTGAGTTTAGAAGGTTGTAGCATGGCTGAAGATATACAGCATCAAATTACTGTCGGGTCGACCCTTCGGTCTACTCAGCCTCTAACAGAAATGAGAACCAGGAATATTCTTGGAATGTTTTTGAGGGTTAAGGGCGGCTGGAGCGTAGGGTTGAAAACCTTACCGCCATCTATGCGCCAATGTCTAGAAAATGAGGGAACCTCAACCTCTCAAAACCCTATGGGCCTCCACGGCCTGTTACAGGGATACCTTTACTTTTCTTTATAGCAAGTTCATTCATGTAAGTTCAAGTTATAAATATAAGATTGTGGGATTCAAGCTTTTCACAGCAGAGGTTACGCTGCAATAGGCGGCCACATATTCTGTTGAAATTCAAATGACATGACCTTCAACAGATTACATCGTGTTATATCACACAATACAGATGTCTACATTTTCTAAGCTTTCCTCTGAACAATGAATTGTATGGCACAATATAATTTTGAGCACACACACCCGGATCTGTGTAGGGGTATGGTGGGGCAGGGAAATCATCCCTCTCTATCTTTGGCTTCTCTCCTGGCCCGGGTCGCTTGGCTGCTGGGAAGTGTGCCAGCTCAATGGGCTCCTCATTGTTCATGTGTGGAGACCTGGGACGTGGTGTCTCTGTCCTGATGCTGTCCACAAGAACCTTCATGCCAGACTTGGAACCAGCCTTGTTCAGTGTGAACTTGCCACTGCTCCTTGAGTGTGCAGCTGCAAACAGTACATTAATATTACTGAAGGTAGGAATCCAAAACATGGCGTGAAATGGATTTGTTTCACTCACACTTGTGTCCAGTGACAGGTTTTCAACACCTGTGCTTAATGGACACCATGAAGTCTGATGTCAGGGTCATCCCTAACACTTCAATCTCGTGACCTTCAGTGAGTTCCACTGAAACTGGCCTGTTAATTTAAAAGCTACAGCCTCTCGTGAACAAGGTAACAAATTTTTGGAACCCACAGAAGTGGAATTGGGGGGGGGAGCAAGAAATTTATGATTCCCCACAGCATCCAGACCAGCTTTACAGCCCAATCCCAGCCTCCCATTCAGTAGGTACTAAGGCTCTTTCCCTTGGAGTAAGGCAGGGTACAGACTAGCGAGCTGTTGCATGTAACGTAATGGTTACTGTAACGTCTTTGTATGGACGACACGTCCATGGACGTCATGTAACCAGCTGTGAGCGACCCGATCCATAGTGCTCGTGGTGAGCTCGCCATGAAGACATAGTGATTCGCAACGCTACTCCTGGCTCGGAGGAAACGTACACATTTACGAGTATGCGACCATGGCGTCCATGAGCCTACTGCGAGTCCCTTTGTGTTCGCAGAAAAACCGACAAGGCAGTGGATCGCCAGTCATGTTACAGAGCGCGCTCGAAGTACGCTCGAGAGCGTGGTTCAGAAGGCATCCACACTAACAGAATGTGGTTACAGTAACTGTTGCGTTACATGCAACATCTCGCTAGTGTTTATGCGCCCTAAAGCAGCACGGACATGAATTTAACAATTCATCTCAATCTAGTGGCAGGTTAAGAATGATGGAGTTTATACCTCCAATCACCCATGAAACATCATGGCATGGTTCCTAATTAAGAACGAAGACATTACCTTCTTCTCTGTGAATTATTTTATGACCCTTCAGTATCTGTGTTATGTAGTATTAAACAGTATGACAGGTCAATTAAAAATGATCCCAATGGAAGCAGTCTGCCATACTGGAAGTATCATCCTAGAATTTGCCTGAAAGGATTCAGAAAATTCATGAAAAATCTCCATCAAGGTACCTGGAGTCCTGGCCCAGATCCCAACTCAGCATCCTTCTGAATATAAACCTGGAGCATTATCACTGGACAAATCTCTTGGATAGTTTTATGTATCATGGCAGTATGCTGCAGTTGTTCTTGTAATACTCACACGAAGGTCTGTGAAAGTGCGGTGAGGTTGGGGGCTTGTCATACGGGTCAATGGGTCGCTTCAGGTATCCCTGTGTGGGTTCTTCTGTCAGGTAGCTGTATGTGTAGATGCGACTGATGTCCTCTGGGTACTGGTTGCTCTTGTACTCACGCAGGATGAGGCCGGGACTACCAGTGCGCTGATAACCACCGGAGTACTGCAAACATAACATCTGCTGGGTTCTTCACAAAATATGCAATAACCTGATCAAGCAGCCTGGGAATAAAGGTTACCACTCACGTCCATCTAGTACCAAGATTACGAATGCATGGAGCTCAGCCTCCATTATCTTATATATCTCCACTGTATGCTGTAACTGCAGGGATTACTTTGACTTACCTATATATATATTTGAGAAATGATCACAGATTTAGATTACATTTATACTAACTCTTTTAAAGAGTAATTTAATTGCTGTGTTCCGTCTACACAACTCTAAGAATGTCTACCATCCAACTGGTCATCATCAATACTTGCAAGTGTTTTTGAATTGCACCCATTTTAACTAACATTTTCGCCCATATTTACAATCGTTTCTGTCTATTATCTGTGCTGGATTCATTGACATAATTCATAAAATTATAAAGTAGATTAGGTAAACATGGTCCCATAACATTGAACTAAAATCAGGTAAAATATAGTGTGAGTGGGATTAATAATAATAATAATAATAATAATAATACAAGTGGGATTAATAACGTGAGTAAGTTATTCTTAATGTATGTTTATTTTTATTAGATTCTTTTACCTTACATTATTATTTATGTTTATTGATTGATGTATATGACTTTGATCTTGTATATGCATATTGATATCTGTATTCAAAGGACAATTTCCACATCCTGGTTTTTTTTAACTTGTAGGGATATATATGGAAAATAAATGGACAATGAGACAATGAGTGAAAAGCACTATAAGGGTGTAGTCCCTTCTTCCCCATGTTAGCTCGGTGCTGATTAGCATTCGTGACACATGTAACTCGCAGTTTTACAGACTACATGCTGCAAGAAGCTCGTCAGTCACGAGTACACGGATCCCATTCAAGAAAGCGTAACAAATACAACAATGAACCAGTGACATGAAAATTTCATATTTTTTGTATCACTTGTAGACTGCATAAAACCACTTGTTCAGTGAGAAGTTCCAATAATAAAAATTTTTATAAGTTACAAAGCATTATTTTAAACAATAAAATAACATGTAATTTGCATTTTAACTGCCAAATGTATAACACAATAAAACAGATTTAATCTAACCAGAGACAAACATTTGGTAGTGTAAACAGAGTTTGATGAGCTATAAATAATAACTTTTTAAATAAAAAATATTTTATTAAACAAGAAAAATTTGGTATGGTAACAGTGAATATATTAAAAAATCAAAACCTGAAGTGGTGAAAATGCACTATATTTCCAGCTAACTGGAGAATATTTCAGAAATATCATTTACAATCCAAATGACAAAACACAACATTTACAAAAACAGAAGACACGTTAAGTAAATGAAAATATAGAAATATGACTGTAAGCAACCCTCCTTGCTGATGTACACAGTTTAAGCAGTTTCCCCAAAATAAATGCATAACTGGTGAGCTGGGAAGGGAGGAGAATGGGATTCCCAAAACAAGTGACAAACAGCACGCATATATGAACTCAAGTTATTATTTGTTCTGGACTACATCTGTCATCTTAGTATTCTGAAAGACACATTCTGTGAACTGATGTGTCTATTCTCAGCTGAAGTGGTGGACAGGCATCATCTACTCAACTTCAGAAATGGTGTGTTCTTTCAGAATACCAGGATGATGGGCAAGGTACAGGCACCCATTAATCCCCAAGCATAACATATGAGCATCACAACCCTCTAGAACTGACAAATGTACTCATCAATTCAGTGACTTCCTTAGAATGCAGATACTGTTTTATGTGTAACTTTGAGAATAGAATGAGTCTCCTTCACATCTGAACAGCACATCATCAGTCTCCACAAAAATGCAAACATTTTAACATAAAGTTACAGATAATACGTACACAGTTTTCGTACTATTAGAAATTTAATATCCTTGGACACACACACACACTTTTGCCATCAGATGAAGTTAAAACTTAGTTCTTGTGCGCACAAAGGGACACAAACAGATCATTACATCTGGCAGAGCCGTGATGTCAGCCTGCAATTTGCTCGCTCACAGTTCATGAAAATTTGGGGACTGCAAATTTGGAATACACGTCTTGCACCAATCAAGCACACCCAAGTAAATTTATTCTTACAAACGTCTGTAACATCTAGTGCATGTCATGCTGTAGGTACTAAAGTCATAAATTGGGCCACGCCATAGCTCAAGCAGTTAGTCATTGGCTTCCCACCGCAGTAGCCCGGGTTCAATCCTGGGTCTGGTCAAGCGGCATTTGTGGTGAGCAAAGTGGCACTGGGACAGGTTTTCTGAGTACTTCGGTTTCCCCTGCCAATCTTCATTCCATCAAATTCTCAATCATCACAATCACCTGGGGCAGTTACAATAGGCCAATCAGTGGCTGCCATGCTGAGTGGACCCAACTGGACTCCACTCCCCACTATGCGAATTAAAAAGAAAGGGAAAAAGTCACAACTTTCCGCTTTTTGCTATATATATATCTTCTTTTTATAAAACATGATACACTGTGTTTCCTATCACATAAAATCCCCACTTCTTAATTTAAAAAATATATGCTTCATATGCAAGAATTGGTGCAATTCTCATGTATGTATCGCCCACTTCAATGGGTCATATAAAACGGAATAGGAATGACTAAAGAATTTAGCAACCTTTGCCCACAACGATACCATGAAACGCCATACAATTTTGAAAGGACCACCTGAAGACAGAATCAATATATATGCAAAATTATACAGAACTGTAAATGCAAGCCGTTAATATATGTGCCATTTTAGTTCTTTAACCAGTCAAAATGTTTTTTCCTTCCTTTTTTGAGCTCCTAATCTGTATAGGTTTCTCAAACGAGGTTCAAAATCTTTCATATGCAAAAATATGCCTATTTTACTAGGATAAACTATGAACATGCGGGCAAACCTAGCAGTGTTTCTTTAAAAGTTCATAAATAGAATTCTATAAATGTAAAATCCATCAAAATTCCATTGAGTGAACTTCAGAAATGAAGTGCAAATTTGGGAAACAAATAAGTCAGAGAAAGTGTAAATTCAGTTAAGATTTTACATTGTTCTTAATAGTATTTATTGAGATGGGACAAAACAATAAGTGTATAAAATTTATAAGAACATAAAATCCATTAGAGCCAAATCAAAGTTTCAGAATAATCAGATGTTTTATGAATATTTCATATCAATCAGGGATTAGTATGTCTGGATACACAGAGAATAAACACATCAGCATGGAGGGTTGATGTAAGTATGTACAGTTTGTGTTACTAACCTTTCTGGACAAACTATTACATGGGCTATACAATGAACCATTAAGACTAGGCGTGCGGGAACGAAGAGAAAACTGCAAAAACCAAACAACACTGCTAATAACAGACTGCTACATAAATTAACGTAAAAATCAATAACATTAAAACAATTAATAAATATTAACATGCATCAAGAACTTAAGTTCACATGCACAGCTAACATAACACTAAAGACCATGCTTACATGACATTTCTTAGTTAAATAAACAAAGCATAAAATTAGACCTGGTTAAAACATATATATATATGCAGAACTGGGAGATACTAAATTTAATAACGAACTTCCACAAATAATTTAATCTGCGTGAAAAGATTCATGGTAACATGACATGGCCTACGTCTGTGAGTACTCTATGAACTTGAGGGCACATAAGATATGTCTTACAAGCGGACATGTCTAATGGCCTACCCTTCCACATCTTTCTCTACAATTTTCATGCTTTCAGCTGTATAGTTTTGATGATGATTTCATGTTAAAACTCCAGGCAAAACTGTATTGATAAAACAGGAATAACAACAACAATAATAATAATAATGTGGCTAAATCTGAACCTGAAATACTCGGGTACAGCCTGCACTACAGTTTGGAAGCTGAGCAGATAAAAAAATATATATGAGGTAGGTCAGAAATGAACCAAATTCAGCAAGTATATCTCAGAGAGTTAATTTCAAAAATTATATTCAGTAATTCACTTAGAAATTAAAATACAAAGTAAACCTAATCTCAATGAACTGATGATAACATTTTTACAAACATCCATTTATAAAACTGTAACAAACTGTTAGAAAAGGCAAGACCAGCTGTATAGTGTGCTTAAAATGACTTTATTTTTCCTTTGAGGAAGATAAGGAAATACTCGAGCACTATTTTCAGCCATCAGGAATCAAAAATTACTCTGTGAATGGTACTAACAGCCCACCCTTCCCAGTATTCAAATTTTACATATTTCACTACATTTTACTGTGTTAAAATGAACAAAGCCCTTTTAACTTTAATATATTCTAGAATGTAGGGGGAGCAATGTTAATACACAGTTTTTAAAATATCTTAGTATTCACCATTTGAATATGGTTAATGCTATAAGCTGCCTTTGGGAGAATGTCTTATCAAATCCTGCAATAAACTAACTGGCATTCTGTGACCATGTAATGGCAAGGAAATGTGTCCCAGTTCTTCTATAACATCCACTGTATCATTTCTGTAATCGCAACATAAATGGGAGAAGTCTGTTACACCATTCAGTACAGTTTAACATGTGAAGTGAGACTTGTGCCACTATGATGGCTGCTTGCCTGCATTTCACTAGCAGAGCTGCTCATATGGTCAAAATCACGACCACTCTCCTTGCCAGATTCCCCATCTGTGCAGTGGCCATTTTCCAGTGGGCCATTCACCACAGTGCCATTTTCTGTTGGACCAGGCCCACAGCGGGGATGCCAGATGGCTGTACCTGTAGAGAATTCAACACCAAGTTAAAATTTAAAATCAGAAAGTTTGAATTTTGATGATGAACAAATACACCATTCTCTTAGGTTTACAGTTCTCATGGCAGTAACAACGTTGAGTACTGTTGTGTGGAATGCGATTTCATGTAGTCTGGCAGGTCATCAATGTTTCAGAGGATTGTACTGTCTGCTTGCTGGCTTACTCTCTGACCCTAGAGCTGAGAGGCAATGTTTTCCTCTGTAAAGCAGCACACTTCTTCCGGACTGCACAGCATCACTGAACTAACATAACAGCAATGCTGTAGGCTTGTATTCAGGAGGTGTTCAGCTCAATTCTCAGAAGGGACATTGGTCTATCGTGGTTTCCTCAGTAACTCCACACAAATGCTGAGATAGTGCCACGATTAGGTAACAACTGCTTCCTTCAATAGACTTTCAAATTCATCAATCATCCATCCATTCAGAGCTATAGAGTCCACCTACTAAACTGTTGTTTAAAATACCCTAATTGGAGGGATGTGAGTATTTTATCTGGGATCTTAAAAAAAATGGAAGTATATTTTCTGCCAATGCCTGACAGTGAAGATGTAACACAATGCCAAAGTATGATTTTCATTATTTACACACAAGTTTATTAAATTTTTTCAAATAATTACACAACCGGCTTAGATAATTAATAGGGTCTCATGTGGTAAAGTTGTTCTTGGATGTTACACCATGCAACTGGGTAGACAGACAGTATTCTGACAGGACTGGCCGTGTACAATCTTCTAGTAGAAAAGTACCCTGATGATAGGGTAGCAGATTGCTCCAGAATGTTAGTTCATGACTACCGAACTGCATGGCACCATACCACAGAAAATCACTACCTTCAGAGCACTTCTTGAGAGGCTAACAGTTTTCCAGCTAGTCAAGAAATGCTCAGCCCCTTATGGAACTCACAGGTTCATTATTATGTTCACAGCAACTGCAAAATCCATTAGCTGAAAAAATTAAGTCAGTTCCTTAAATTCAAGCATATATGATTTATAATTAATTTCTATCACTGATGATAAGTAAATATGAGAATACAGACTAACAAATGCAATACTTGCCCTGTAGGTACATTTCCTCGCCATCGCCAAATGGATCACCACATTTGGTGCACCGAGCACAAGTAGGATGAAAGTGATGGTTGTCTCCAGCCTGTACAAACAGAAATTCTATGAGATTTCCATAATGACCACTTGGGCTCCTACAGTACACCTTTTAGTTGGAAAGTGCTCCCACTGAACTTACCTTTCCTTCTGTCTCGTGAATTTTACAAACAACAGTGACACAGCACCAGCAACATGTTAATATAACCTTGCTATCATATTCAAGGTAAATAAATCCTAAAGCAGTAATGAAAACCAGTAACTGTATACAGACAGTTTAGTTAAATTGGTTACATGGTTACACATGATACAACTAAGACTGATTAAGTATTGCAAATGTGAAACTAGAGAACAAAATGGGAGACTGAATTTGTGTGCCATAAAAAATAAACTGAACGTATTTACAGCACATATTTATCTGCAGTTTCCTTTGTAACACTCAAAGTATCTAAACCTCATCAGCATGCAATGGTGGGATCATTCTTCAGTAAAGAAAATGAAAGAATTTGTAAGGAACAACTGTGGTGAAATAAACGTACCATCCTGGCATTTGCCCGAAAGCAGGAAAACCATGAAACACCTTAGTCAGGGTAACCAATGTCTTGAATGAGGATCAAACCAAGCACCTCCTTAACATGAGTCAAATACACTGCCACTAAACCACCCCACTTGGTTTTCAGTTTTATGCTTTGGCTGTATGGATTAAGACTATGAATGTGTAAAGGATAAAATACCTCAGAAGAAAAATAACCGATGATCTTCAACGATAATGAGAGAGCTAGTCAAAGTGAGATAGCAAAATAAGTTCTAAGGACATTACTTTGATGCTGACAGTTCTGCACTCACCTGCAGGACCTTGCCTGATATGTATCGGCTACAGTAGGCACACTTCACACCAAACTGCTTCTGGTAATCCTTCTCGCAATACGGAATGCCATCTCTGCAACAGCAGCAGAATTTAGTTCAACTGCACAGTACGACTTACATGGTCAGACGAATAAGTTTAAAGTCTAGTATTTTTAAAAGCTGCAAATACTAGCTACCTATAATTTTTCAAAGTAATCTCTCTCCAATTCTTTACCATGTTCCCAGCACTTTGGTCTATTAAAAAAACAGTTTTTCATAGATGACTTAATGTCCTCAATGTCCGATAAACATTTTCATTTCAGCAGACTCCTGAATTTTGCAAACAGCCAGAAGGTAGAGCCAAGCCAGGAGACTACGGGTGAATGATGCATTGTGGAGATGCCTTTTTCCTGCTAAAAACTGCGACACTTGAAGCGAAGAATGTGGTGGAGTGTTGCAATGGTGAAGAATCAATGAGCGATCTCTCCACATCTCTCCTCAATTGCGAGTCATGGCATCAATAAGCCTTATCAACACTTCCATGTTGAATTTTTCATTTCCAGTGGTCCCTCTGGGTACAAATTCGAAGTGGATGATACTGCTGATGTCAAAAGAAGCAGATCATCATTTTGACCTTAGACTTTGACATCTGTGGCTTCTTTGGCCTGGGGAATTCTTCGATCTCCACCATACGGACTGTCGTTTTGCCAGTTGGTGACTTCTGCAGATTAATATAAAATTTCACATTCACTTTCTGTTCCATCATAGACTTAATTTTCACGTCTGAGCTGACACACTGATCTGAAGAGCTACTATTCACAGCTATCCAGACTCCCCATGTGAGCTGTGTCTTGTTGCATCACCTAACATTCCATGGACCATCATTGCCAGATTGCCAGGCATTAAATTAAAAACAAGTCTTCAAGCTTATTTGCCCAACCTTGCATACTTAAACTACACACTTGTCCATAAATAGCAATTTCCACATTAAACTCATGGTCCATGCACCTGTGTTAACTGCAGATACATAAAGCAAAGTTAGTGTAAGCATTTTCTTATGATTAAATATAATGGAAGACCATTATATGTTGCTGACTGAATGGATAGCTAGAGACGAAACTGCTGAACAAACCAAATTAACTTAAATAAACTAGACTAACCAAATTCTTTCACTGACCCATTCACTCTGTGTAGGAAAATAATTTTGAAGAAGCTAATAGTTGCACAGTTAGTCATTAAATCTCCTGCCTTTTATGGAATATTAAGGTTCATTAAAAATGGAGTGACATAAAATTTTTCTGTATGCACCAGAACATGATCAAGAAAAGTACACCTATTACATGCAATTTATTATTTTTGTTCAGAAACTGATTTTAAGTAACAAAACTCTATAGGTCACCTTTAAATTTTAAGTACATCTGTTCAATTAATTAATGTTAACCTTCCATTTCTTTTTCAGTAGCTGCTTTAAATAGAATCTGTCCCTGGTTCTGTACTACAAATGAAATGAAGATTGTCTCCAAGAGTGTCTCAATAACACTGCCTTCAATTTGAGGTTCTAATGGCAGTGAGTGTAACGAATGAGTGCTATGTTCTGGGACATGTCACTTATGAATCGGAAGAATTTGCTGCCTGCACTTCAGGTTCCAAGATTAAAACAAAAAAGCAACCAGCAACTACAAGAATTTTTAGCAGACTACATTTCATCACATTTTAGAAAACAGCATTCTTCAATACAATGTACTGATTTACCTTGTGACATAATTAGTTCCATTATAAGCCTTAAGGCAACCTCAGTCAGAAGTTCTGACTGGTCATTACCTAAATACGAAGCAGGAGAGGGTGGGTACATGTTACACCTGAAACAGAAACATCAATGAGGCCAGATGACTACTCACTTCCCCATGTATTCTCCATGCAGAACTGAGTCGCATGTGCGACACTTGAAGCACCAGATATGCCACTGTCTCTCTAAGGCAATCAGTGCCTGTCCTTCCTTCAGCTCTTCCTGACATCCAGCACACTCTGTAAGCAATACACAGAATTACAGTCATCAAACAACATTCGATGGTTACAGTGAACAAGGCCAAACTGTTTAGAATATGGCACTAACAATGAGAGTGTACAACCATAACATTAAAGATTCAAGGAAGATAACTTACATAAAAAATAAAATAAAAATCAGACAAAGGTACTGATTTAATACTGGCGAGCTTTTATATGTGACACAGAGGAACTCAAAACGTTGTAAAGTATTATTCAACTTCAAAATTCATAGAAATTACAGTAGTCCTTTACTATACGTAACAAATTTTAGAAATTCTGCCACAGTATACAAAAAGGAGACAAATCTACATTTTACATAGCCACTATGTTGCTACTGTTATGAATACACACGGCTTTACCAGAAGTTGCATGTTTTTCTGCATCTGTAGTAAAAAGGACTTCACAAGCCATCAGGGATACTAATGAGAGATATTTCTATCTAAAGTCTGCACATCTACAACAAAAGTAGAAATTTTAATATGAGCTGGCATCTACTAGGATAACCTAATTCCTGTCTCTCATAAATTCATAATCTGATTCAGTAGTTAGCAATGAGAGTACATGGACAACACCGTCTGCTATGGAAAACCAATAATAATCCTTTCAAAAAGCAGCTTCAAAAAACAGAAAGTGAATCTTCTGCCCCAGTACACACTTTGTCCATCATTATTTCTCATTTTGGTTTTGAAATGTCTTTCATTACTGAATATATAAGTATTTTGTAAACTGTGTAGCAATATATTTTAAATTCCTTGCAGGCATAAAATGAAATGAAAGTAACTGTAATTTAGGGCCACGCCATAGCTCAAGATGTTAGTCGCTCGCTTCCCACCGCGGCTGCCCAGGTTCATTAGGCCAGAAATGGCTGCAGTACAAGGGACTTAGTCCCACCCCACTAGCAATAACAAAAAAATAAATAAATAAAAGTGTAATTAATATAAATCTTTAATGAAGTGATTAGAAATTTTATTAAAAGTATGTTTAAAATAATCCTTGTACACAAACATTACAGATAATGAAAATTAAGAGACAATTTTCTATATTACAGACATCACTTTGCACTTGACCATCTGCACTTATTAGAATCTTTTAAATTCCCTAGCACAGATTTTGCTCTATCAGCCATCTTCAGGGCCAGCGAAGATACGTGACATGCCAAAACACATCTGCTAGTGAATTTATTGTGGTAGGTGCAATGGTTATTCACAGGAAGCAAACTTGATAATGCACAACACATATGAATTCCATCAGATTTAATGTTGTCTGTTAGGTACAGAGGCATAGCCCCTAAACTAACTATGCTAAAAGCCGGAAGGTTGCGATTTCAAGTCCAAATGAGGTAATTGAATTTTTTTCGATTGACCTAATCCTTCCAGCTGCACTATGGGCCAGGGGTCAACTCAGACTCTAACAGAAATGAGTACCAGGAATTAATTAAATAATTCTTCTGGGGAGTAAAGGGCGGCCAGCGCGTAAGACTGACAACCTTACCGCCATGTTTGAGCTGATTGTCTACATAATGTGGCACCTTCAACGTCTCACAACCCTATGGGTCTTCACGGCCTCGTACAGGGATAGCTTTACTATTTTCTTTTAAATGTTGGGTAAAGTAGTAGGAAGATAAACTACACTGTATTGGTCATCACTATTGCAAACACAGTAAAACAGTTTTCACTTCAAACAAAACAATGTTTACCTGGACCACTGGCACTGGATGGGCTTGCTTGAAGGGACTGTGTTTCCCGCACTGGAATCTGAACACACTTCTGGCACAAAACTTCCTTTCCTGTGTATGTAACACGCTGCCCAGAAGGGAACGGCTGCCTGCAACGAGACATCACAAGCTCTGTTATCGCATCTGTCAATATTAACATTTCACCTGAAATTAGCTTCAAGGTCTGTGCATGCACACACCAATCATCAACATGGCCAATTATCATGCTTATTTACACAAGCATTTCTATGTACATCATACTGACTCAGCACTTACATAATTTTAAATAAACACAATCTCAATTTACAACATGAAACCCATCTCCAACAGAACAACTTTTTGCCAAAGTCACCAAAAAAGTTCTAAAAAGTGTGCTTCTCGCTACAGACTTCAGAAAACCATACTACGAATGTTAATGTGCCACATTATGCATATTTCACAAAAAGCTACAGTTTTAGTACCACTGATCTGTTAGAAGTTCTTCTATTTCAAAGCACTGGAACATATAAAATGGAACCAACGTTAGACATTACTGGAAATATTATCGTTACTGTTCCTGTTATAATTGCTGCTGAACATGAACATCAAGCAATGTACTAAAGAGACTCTCACCTACATATCAGATACATTACATAATGATGAAGTTTCTGTTCCAAACTCCTACAGTATTGTTGCAGTACATAAATCAAGGTTAAAACAGACAATAAATGAAACATGCTGCACATGTGCACAACTATGAAATGTAAGAATCAAATTTTACCCTGGTATGACTTGTAAATAATACGTTTAAACAACACAATACACTGAAAATTCTGGATCAGGCATGTTTCTTGCAGAAAACAGATGAAATAAACTCAGCGGTTTTTATGTATGATAAACAAAAATAATCAGCGAACTTTTAATGATTCAAAATGGAGGTATGAACTGTACAAACTACAGAAGGAATTTTCTCAGCATATCAGATATTTGGGACACAAATACATTAATGTATTTTTAAACTGCTTCTATGCATTAAATTAGAAATAAACACTGAAATGATGCGTAATCAGAACTCATTTGATAAATGGTAACAAAACATGAAATGTGCTCCTGAACCTCAAGATTTCATAACCATGATATTGAAGAATCGTCCTCCTCATCCACAAAGATCCACACCCACCTGCATCTGGCACATGTAAAGCACTTCTGGTGGTAGGTATTTCCAAGTGCAGACACCACCTCCCCCTCTACATAGTCACCACAAATAGCACATTTGGTACCGAACTGGTTCTGATAGTCAGAGGTGCAGTAATAGTTGCCATCCTTACAGAAGAAGCCACCCTGGGCCAACGAATTCTTGCACACTGCAACAATAAATCAACATCTTTAATTTTTAGTTTAATTTAGATTGTCAATATTAAATTCTGAAAATTGACACTTAAAGACACCAATGCCATTACTTTCTGGATCTGCTTAACAGAAATGCATATAAAATTTGTAACATTTGGTCCCCCCCCCCTAGTTCAGGTTTTAAAACGCGTTCATCAAAATTTTGTCTCAGTCAGTTGACATGTATAATGTTCCAGAGGAACGAAACAAAGTAATTTCTTTAATACCACCAATCTAATTCCAGATATTATGAAAAGTTTGTCCTTGAATGAATGAATGAATAAATATCAAGAAAACTAACACTTAAATGCATGTGCAAGTATTACGTACAGACGAACATTTTTAGTATGACAGGCTATATTAAATTACGTTGCAGCTTCAATTTCCCTAAGTCTTAGGTTTATATCTTGAGTTAGAGACTGGTTATCCTGAATGATGGTTTTCATCATCAACTTCGGCCCCTCCAGGGTAGTACTTCAAAATAGTAGACCCCAACCACTGCTTCACCAAGTCATCATTCAATGTCATCCCTCCACTCAACTCCACAAAATCAATGCAGCTGAAAACGCATAATTAAATAACCCAATAATCAACCCAGTAAGAAACTGAGTAGGATGCTGCAGTCTTAGTACCTGACTTCAAATTGAACTGGACACAGTTCTTCATGAAATAAAAGACTTTCAAATGTACTACCAAAGACAGACTAGTGTGTTTACAAGCAGACTTGATAAACAGACCATTACAGCATTGCTTTAGTGAAGCAGTTCAATATGAGTCTGAAGCGCACACAGCGCTTTCCAGGAAATCTGTTACTGTCAATCAGGAGCAAATTGAAAGACACTGCCTTTGTGTTTGGACTCATGCAAACACAATGGTGATCCATTCAACAACTTTAAATGTACCCAGCTCAAAGCAATGGCACCTCTCTTTGCAACGCAGCACATTTGTTAAAACATTCATCGAGGCTTGTGGTGAGTTAAGAAGGGCTACAAATAATTTCAGAACTGAGCCAATTCGCTTGAAAAACTTAACAGCAGGCGCCAGAAGTGGGATCAAGGAGTGTAAAACACAATTCAGAGAAAATGCTGGGGCCAGGATATGATGTCAGATGCCAATTGCTGCTACACAGCTCCACCAACATGACAGCAACCGGGAATGTCAGGATGATTCTACCAATGAAATGACATGCAGCTACATGTACAGAAGCATACAGGAATTAAGGACAAAAAAAAGGGGATATTGATGAAATCAGGAAAAGATTAAGATATCTCAATACAATAAAAACCTTGACACAGATATGTAAGATTATGGTATCACAGTGCATCAATAGAGCACTGCATGTGCTGACTGCATGCTGTTCTAATTCTGAAATAGGCAGATCTCTCAAGAATACTCTATTGTCTTCATGAAAACTGCTTATTTAGTAGAGCTTCTAACATCTACATTTTGTATTTCTTCAACAGTGAATACTCTGATGCTATGACTGGATTGTGAGAATGCAGAGAGTGCAGTCAAATCCCAATCCCTGTTACGATTGCAACATTCAGGAGATTCTGATGAACTGGACATATTCCTCATTTGGAGGAGACAAAAATTCATAAATGTGGGGCAAAAGAAACTTTTAAAAGGGGTTGATCTGATGAGTGGGAAACAGGAGGACATGGATACAGCTTGCTTAAGCGACTGGCTTCAGTATTAACAGTGCTGAACCTTCAGGTTCTATGCTTTAAACAAATACTTATTTTATGTAACATAAAAAGCCTCCAATTTTACATCATTTTTTTGTGGAAACGGGAGGGCTGAAGGATAAAAAGAGTAAAGCTATTCCTGTAACGTGCAGTTAAGGCTCCACATTTTCTACACAATCAGATTACGGATTATGCTGAGGCAGTCGGCCTTATGCACCAGCCTCCCTTTAACTCCAGGAAGATTCCTGGTACCCATTTCTGTTAGAAGCTGAGTCGCCCAGATGGCCATAGTGTGGGTGGAAGGATTAGATGAATTGAAAAATCCAATAACCTCACTAGGAATTGAACCCGCAACATTCCAGCTTGTAGCAGGGTGCTGGGGGATTGAAGGATACTTGAAAAAGCTAACAACACTTCCTTGATTTAATTGATTTGAAATACCTTTCACACGGGCCACCGAAAATTCATTTCTTGAAGTGCCTCACCATTAAGCTGACTACGCAGCAACTTTGCATATTGAAAAAACCTGTTCTGGATCCCACCAAGCACCAAATTTTGGAATTGTCATCAAACACTCTTGTTCATTCCTTCTGCGTAGTCACTTCGCTGTCTATGTGGTGAGGGATACTTTTATCGGGTGCAAATATGGCCACCACCTATGGTCACAGTCTGTGAATGCACTTTCATGGAGCAATTTCTGTGCAAACGAATGTTAATTTTTGACAAAATATTCTGGATGCCTCTGGCACATGATCCATTTGTTACGCAATCTCTCTTCAGCAATGCTATATCCAACCCAGGGTGATGGCCTGGTGCCATTTCGAGTAATGGGTTACTGCCTTTGGACTTATTTTGTTTTCACAGTATGACTGTTCAGATTTTGTACATGTGGATCATGATACCATGCGGTGTGGTATGCAAATACTGACTTTTAGGAGGAACCCAACTACATCTTGGAGATGGGCACCTTCCTCTAGCACGTCCAAACCCATCTACAGGAGCACAGGATTCTTACAGCTTAATTTCTGATCTATGAGGTGGAAGCATTAATCTCTTTCGGTATGCATGTGTCTTGTTTGTTGTTCAATTCTGCAATTAAAAGCTATAAATGGGTAAAGATAAGACTGGCACTGTATAATTATAATTATTTATGCTTTATCTTTTAAGTCTGGAACAGTGTGCCTAACTGTCCTGGCACCTTTATTTGAATTTGTGCAGCTCGCACCTCACAGTCCTATTATGAAACCTGTTATCATAATGTTCCGCATCTCCTGTAGAGCTACCAAACTCCGACTGACAAAGACATAACATTACACTCAATACGTTCAGTAGGGGAGAAGTACCACAACATGGTCTTGGTTGACAGATGAATGTACAATCACTCGACATGGTGTGGAGAAAAGTAACATCAAAATTTAGGTAAGTTTAGTTTTGAATCCTCTGCTTAATGTACTGAGTCACAGAAAAACAGTACAGTTGAATTTAAAACAACAGCAGAAAAAGGGATTCCGTATTTGTTTATTCCAGTCAAATATCTGCTATGAATTAGGAAGATCCACAACACAGAGATCTCCTGCCAATGATTATAAAAAACCTGAGAAATCTTTAGGTTTTACAGGAACTAAGATAAGCAGTCTCTGAGTTCACAGTTTAGTTTCCACTTTGTAATGTTTCTGACCACCTACTCATACATTTGGCTGAATGACCGGCTTCATTTCCCACAACTCAAGGAACTGAGCAAAGAAGTGCACATTCTTGTGGCCTCTTACTGCTCCCCAATGAAGCAAAACAAGTTTTCATTGATCACGAGTCCAACTTCCTTATGAACCAAAACAGTCTGACTGGATCTGATCTGTGGGCAACCACTGAAGCATGAAAGATCACAACCAGCGGTGCATGAATGTTACTGACCTGCAGATCTGATGGGTCACATGCAAGAGAGAGATTGATCTTCTGGGAAGTGATGCCTTACAGTGTGGTAGAAGTTAACCGACTTTCCTCTGAAACATCGGTGAATGTCTACTGGACTGCATGGTGTCACACACCAGAAGACTATTCTTCAGACACTGCAGTGAGATCCTCAAAGTCTCTGACATCGATCTAATATTATCACATGTTATGAAAGCAACATTTCAGGGATTTAAATATATTTTACAGCACTCTGCATGTATATATGTGAAATAATTTACTATACAAAACTACATATAGAGAAACAGTGATTCATAATCATAACAAACGACAAAAGTTGAAACTTCATTTTCAGTTTTGTCAAACAAATGCTTTTAAGAGCTGAATGAAAAATAAATTATATGAGTGTAATACATTATGCCAGTCATGGTAGCCGAGCAGTCTAAGGCATGTACTGTTTCTGTTCACTCGGAAGCCAGGATCTTGCGTTTAAATCCCAGCCAAGACATGGATGTGTGGTATGTGTGTGTGTGTGTTTATTCCCTGTTTGTGTTGTCCTGTGTTCAGGCAGGGGCCTTGCAATGAGCTGATCACTCATCCAAGGAGTCCTACCAGCTGTAAAAATGATGAAAAAAAAAAAAAACAACCTCAACACCATAGTGTATAAGAGGAATGGATTATACAATTAATGAATTAACAAATAGAGCCAGGAAAGCTGAAAAAATGAGTTTAAAAGAACTATTACAGCACATATTTTACCTTGCAGAAGAATATACTGGTATGTCATGTTAAACAGTAGAAAATGATATATCAAAGTGTGTTGCTTTTCAGTGAATTGTATCTGTGCTGCATGGGAGTATGAAGGAACACAAAATATTTGTTACGTTTAGATATGCATATACGATATATCCTATATAAATAGTTTAAATGAAAAGGATAAATATAATTCAACCAAAGTGAATTTATACTAATCTCGGTCATCTCCAGCCAAGATAATGAAGCGTCAAACTCCAACCAAGATAGCAAACACTACAAGAAGCAAATATGTCTAGGACATTGATGACAGTGAATTATTATGATATATATAGCTTGTGTAATTATCATTAGAACGTTACTAGAGTCTATTTTCAACGTATGATGATGAGCAAAATCACCATCCTGGACACACTGCTGAACATACAAAACTCTTCTTCTGTAGCAGTGCCTACTGAGGGTATGTTGCAACCTGCACCTTTATGAAACGTGGCATAAATATCTGTATCATTTCAGTGATTCATGGTATAAAAAGTAAGATAAAATTTGTTACAGAAATGAATCAGGACAATTGCCATTGGTACATTTTTCATGGTTACAGTGAACAACCCATTAAATTCCAGATGATTAACTGTTGAAGAAAAACTAAAAAAAAAGAGTTGGAATTACTTACGAAATTAAATTATCACCATCAACACTGCATTCTTCAGTGCAGGAGACCTGATAATAGAGGAAGAATATTCCTCTGAAAATCTGCGAACATGTACAACTACAAGGCGCCACATCTCACAGAACAATGGAAGTTGCTAACCAAGATAGAATTTGTGAGGAGACATGTAAAATGAAGAAATAAAGGTACGAGAAAAGCAACATTTTTATTTGCAGTGAAGTAGAATGCTGCTAACTTCATTTTGCATTTTAACATGTCATTTCACTTGCAAGGTAACAAATGGCTGAACACGCAAGAAGCTGAAAATTGCATTTCATGGCAAAAATATGAACAATGTTTCTTTGTTCAAGTAAGGTACAACCTTTTCTCTGAGCTGTTAAACAAAAAATGACAAAGAAATACTGACATACCAGAATGTAGAAACTTAAGTCTGTAATGGAGATACTGCATGCAGGAAAAGAAGGAATGATCACATAAGAAGACAGTGCAAGTTGGCTCACGTGGTCTGAATCTTAGTCAGCACACCAACTATCATATGGCATTTCGTGATCTTCCTCAGTTCCTGCAGGCAGAGCCCAGAACAGTACCTAGTCATGACCACTTCCTTCCGCATTATTTCAAACTCATTATTCAATCATTCGATCATTCAATGCTACACAATTAGAATTCCTGACAGTATCATTAAATAAATCACATGAACTGAAGAAGGCATGAAAATGAAGTACGGGGTGAGCCGCAAGAAGAGTTAGAAATTCATGGAAAGCACAGTGTTGAGGCCGATATAGGCATTAAACTGAATTCTCTGTGAAGACGAAGAGATGCTGTTATAATCCTATATGATGTGGCACCACTGTAAAATGAAACATTAAATTTGTGAGAAGTTTGACATAACCAGCTGAAGATACAACATGTGTAAAAAGAAACAGGTTAAAACTCTCGTTTCTTGGAATAGCCTACTTTTGTTTCCAGTCAGCACCATGGCTGGGTAGCAGCAAAACAAAAGTGTGCTGCATACCTGCTGTTCAACTGTGCCTTATTCTCTCCTCAGTCACAGTAACCAAATTAACGCTGATGCTGACAGGCAGGAACAGTCCACCTATCATATTGTTCCAAACGCATATTAAGATAGTATGGAGTACACACCCGTATCTCAAAAATGTGTGGCCTATGGGCTTTCTCCTCCTTTACTGCAGACACATGTAAAGTTTCTCATTTCTTATTTGGTATGTGTGGAACTTTTAACATTAATTTTGGACCTCAATCATCAGTTTCTTAAGTAGCTGTGTGCATTTCATGAGTTTCAACTTAATTGAATGAGGTAGCAAACAAGGAAAAAACATTTACTACTCATTGTTTTTGACACACTTACCTGAAGATGGCCAAATAGGTCAAATTAAGTAGTGGATTTTAAATAAGTATTAGATATACAATAAAGATGTGTTGAGGGTGAGAGAAGGGTCAAAGAGAAATTACCAACAGCACAGTTTCATTAGTTGCGTGTCATTCAGTTCTGCACTCAAAGTGTAGAGCTATGGGTACTCGCTCAGAGAGGCTTCACATCATGATTTACACTCATATACCCAAATGTTACTCACCTTGACACTTGAAACAGCTGATGTGAAAATACTTGTCCTGCACCCTCAACACCTCCCCCGAGCACTTTTTCTTACAATTCTGGCAGAATGTCTTGCCTGCAACACAGAAAAAAATTGCAAATTGTACAGTAATTACATACCCAAGATTCAGTATCATACATCAGCCTCATGGTACAACAAGGTAAAGCCCTTTGCCAAAGGCAAACAACTACCAAAAATGAGAAGGGCTGGCCCTGTGACTGTTTCAGATTTTTTACATTATAAACTGAGTTCATAAAATCAAGAAAAACACCCCACAGCTTCCCTTAAGGAATCCATAAATAAACAATATTCATGAAAGCAACTGTAATTTATTTCACAAACCATATAAACCAATAAATGCTTTTGTGGACAAAACAGTAAAGTAATGGACTATGAAACTGGTGGCACACAATTGTTACTGGTCTATATGAACAGTTTCAAGGTTACCTTTCAATTCCAAGCACACAGCAACATACATTCATGATGGTCCTTTACAGTGTACAAGAAGTGTTCTGATACAAAAACTGAATCTCCCACCATAATGAATTACAAACAGTTAGCTACAACAGGCCATTGTCATGATCTTTATAAGTTAATGTACAGTTACTGAATTCTTCATGCCATACTCTCATTTTAGACACTAGTGACCTTAACAAAAGTTCTGTGTTGATTGGAGATCTGTTGGTATGTAAAACACTGAGTGCTCAAAATCGTGGAACAATCCTACATCTTATGAATTCACAGAACCATTTAGCTAATGCTATAAGTACTTAAAATTAATGTCACGACTTACGTGTCACTATAAATGAGTGAATAGATTTACTGACCACTTACAGGTCATAACTACAAACAACTATAACACTATCACTGATTTCTGCACTTTACAAATTACCACATGGTAACTCCTCTCCAGCATGCAGTGTCGTCACTAGTCATTCCTTGGTAACAGCTCTCAACAATGTAGATGATTCAGCTTCAGTCCCCACATTGTTACTGCCTGGCAAATGTCCCACAATTGAACTGTCAACTGAACTATACAGTCATCTCCTCTCAGTCTCCCTTTCACAACTCAAATGTCCTGGTTATAACTTCTTGGCATGGACCAGACAGAAAACACTGTACTTCTACTGTTGCATGCACATTCTCTTCCATAGTAATGTGTTTACTGAGCTGTTGCCAAAAAATGGGCTGCGTAACACCGTTTATTAAGAATCTGCTGCTCCAGCAAAGGCATCATTTAGTAATCATTACCCAGCAACGGGTCTACACACTACAATACCATAAACAACATGAATCTTGTTTCACATTTCAATTAGTCAAAGGGTCTGGAGGTATTAAGGGTAACACACAGATGGACATGCAGGTGTTTTGCATCAATCCATGTTTGTTCTCCTTTCACAAACTGGTCAAATATTCTAAAATACAACTTCACATTCCAGAAATGGCAAGAACAATACCTGTATGTCAGTTCCTTTGAAACGTTTAACATCTCAGTATCTAGACCTAAGTGCAATACTGTGCAAGAGAACTTATTTAAGTCCAAAATTATACTTAAAAAATTCGCTTAACAAAAGGATGTTCCATTCAGAATCTATAAATATTTTGCTGGAGTCAGTGTCCCTGGTTCTCACTAAAAGAACAATCTCTTCTCTTACCTGTTGTAATTATGCTTATGTGGTAAACCGGTCTAAAAATGTTTTTATGAAAGAAGATTCCAACTGTTCTGATTCACCTGCAAAACACCTTCTTCAGAAGACTGCTATAAGGCAAGGTAAAACTATTCCTGTAACAGGCTGTGAAGGCCCTTACAGTTGTGGAATGTCGAGGCTCCCACATTTTCTCTAGAAAATCAGCACACAGTTGGCGGTAAGGTTAGAGTCGAGATAGCGTAGTCGGTATAGCGCCTGGATACAGGCATGACAACTGAGGGGTCGCAGTTTACATCCCAGTAGGGCCAAGAATTTTCTCTTCTTCACGTCGTCCACACTAGCTCTGGGGTCCATCCAAACTCCTATCCAGTGGGTACCAGGGATCTTTCCCAGGAGGTAAAGTGGCTGGGGTGAAAAGCTGACCATTCACCTCCAACTAGTGCCAAGGTCAAGAAAATGTCAATCTTTACATCAGCCACCCATATGCCTTCATGACATAGCGCTTAATTAATTAATTAAGCCAGATGTTGAAGCAGTCTGCATCCCTTCTTGTTGGCTATTTTAAAATTCTATCACTATCAATATTTGTACAGTATTTAATAAATAATGGAATGGACAGGGTTTGGAAAGTGGTCACGGCCTCATCAAGGTACTATTCCAGCATTTGCTTGAAATGGACCTACAAAAACCAACAAAACCCTCAGTTAGGATAACTGGTGTCCTTGGTGAAATTTGAATACAGCACCTCCCAAACACATGTCTTCAGCACTACCTCTAAACCAACCTGTTCCATGCTGTGTCACAAAACAGAGAGAACGAATCACAACCATCATAGATAGTGTGCTATTGTGTTAACAGAGGAACAAAAACTCATGCAGCATTTCCTCATCTTTTTTGTGTGTCAGGAAACAATCAGATAAACGTAATGTGAGTCATACTGTAACCAGACTGGTGAAAGTACACTTAAAGCAGACAGGTGTGACTACATGATACTGCAACATGAAATATCAGTTCAGCCAAGAGAACAGTCAGCCCAAGTTACACTCAGAGGGTTTCTGGTACGCAACCCCAAGATCTTACAACTTTCCTCAGTCTCTCATGATAAAAGGTGAATCAGATCACTTCTCAACTCTGTACTCAACAATTGAAGTCAGCCATTTCACACACACACACACACACATATAAAAACGGAGAGAGAGAGAGGAGGAGGGAAAAAGATAAAAAAAGAAGAAAGAAAGAAAAAGAAAACAAGAAAGAAAGAAAGAAAGAAAGAAAGAAAGACTGACATTAAATGTGTAAACACTGTTAGCATTTTTTCCTTTATAACAATGGACTGTTTTGCGGTATCATGTCCATCTGTCATCCCCATAACCTCTGAACTGACAGATTTTCATTAAACTGATGCAAATACTAAAAGTGACTTCACCTTTGTGTTTTATATTATCACCAACATTATCAACATCGTACTTACTTACTTACTCATGGAGCTGAGGCCTTCTGGAGGAGCTGCCAATTCTGCAGCTACTCAAGAATTTCCCAGCATTTTACGGAACCCGAAAGTTCATTTCCATGTTCACAAGAGCCCTCCACTGGTCCCTATCCTGAGCCAGATCAATCCAATCAATCCCATCCTATCTTTCTAAGTACATTTTAATATTGTCCACCAAACCTATGATTTGGTCTTCCCAGTGGTCTCTTTCCTTCTGGCTTTCCCACCAATATCCTATACACATTCGTCTCCCCCATTCGTGCTACATGACCTGCCCACCTCATCCTCATTGACTTGATCATTCTAATTACTCTTGGAGAAGAGTACAAGTTATGAAGCTTCTCATTATGCAGTTTTCTCCAACCTCCTGTCACTTCATCTCTCTTCAGTCCAAATATTCTCCTCAACACCCTCAGTCTATCTTCCCCCCTTACTGTCAGAGACCAAGATTCAGACCCATACAGAACCATGGGCAAAATTATAGTTTTGTATATTCATTTTTATGTTTTCGGACAGAAGACGAGAAGACAAAAGGTTCTAGACTGAATGGTAGCAAGCATTACCAGAGTTCAATCTCCTCTTAATTTCCTACTGAATCAGATTTTGATCTGTTATTGTTGTTCCCAAATATCTGAATTGTGCCACATTTTAAAAACATCTGTTTCCTATCTTTATATCATGATTTTTCCCTGCATTTTGGTGAAGAGAGAGCAACATTTTACTCACACAAAATATACAGATGACACACCCTCAAATTAATGAACAATTAAGAAAATAATTATATAACATCTATCACTTTAACTAAAAAATTTGGTATTTTTTCCCATTATCCAATAAATTAAAAATTGAAATGCATAACATTAATTTAGCCTTGCTTTCACACAAAGAAAAACACATTCTCCTACATACAGGAAAACATAACTCAGACATATATTATAGAGGTTACATTAAACTGTCACAACAAATGTATACTCACTTTTAATGTTTAGAATTAAATCTTTATTTTGCTACATGTTTCGGGCACATACGACCATCATCAGCCAGTTAATATAGGAATATGTCTAGTCATTGAATTACTAATATGGATCCATACCAGTGCAACGTGTCATATTATGTGATAACAGAAATTTTGCCTCAAGTTGGTAATAAGCATTATGTGAGTATATATGTGTTGTGGTGACAGTTTAACATAACGACTATATATGTGTTTGGAACAAACAACAGGATGCACACTATGAAGATATCTCAGCCATTTCATAATGTGAAACAAACCAGTATGTTTCGATAATTACAAACCTCTTAGCTATCACAGATTTGTCCTGAGATAGGGACTAGCTCTACTGATTGGGCCCAACTGAGTAGATTTTACCTGAAGACGGAGACAGAATCCAGTCTCAAAAATGTTGGGTTTTGAAAAATGAACACGATGGCTTTTAGATAAAGACAAGACAATGGACAATATCCAAAAACATAACATTTGTACAAACCTCTTTATTTACCGATCAATTAGTTTTATTATAGTTTTAAAACCATCTGGCTCCTTCATCCCATTTTAAAATTTACTGGGCTACCGCCTCTTGATACTTATATACCTGCATCAATAAAGGTGTTGTTCTGAGGTCTGCAGTTTTCACTTCCTTGTACCTCACTCAGTCTTGGTGTATGTTATTTCATCATGGGTTCCAGCCAAGAGTTCAAACAGCAGGTTGAGATTAACACAGGTTAAGTTCAAGTTGTTGGGTTAAGTCAGAGTAGCTTACCACCCTCCAACGAAGAGAAGGCAGGGCAAGCTGTGAGTAGAACTAGCTGCCCTTGACCACTCTACTGTTCATTCTGGGACACATTAAACTTCCATATACCAAGTGCATTTGTAAGGGGCGACAAACATCATGCTATTGTATACATCTTGCACAGCAGACATGGGTAAATTTTGGTTA